CTTAACAAAATTATTACGTGTCATCTCCTCTGTATTCACCTCCTCTGGTGCAAAAAGAGACAAACCCGTGAACTGTTGCTCATACTCTGCCACTGTCATGTTCCCCTGTTCAAGATTAAGGAACTCTGTCTTCATAGCTGTCTTAACTGTATATGGAAAGTATTTTTCATCGAAGCAAGCACTGAACTGATCATAGGTCTATGATGTCCTCTCCTATACGATGGTAACTAACTCCCACCACTATAATGCATCCCCAACAAGCTTAGAGGTAGCAAACATCTGCTTCTGAACCTCCGTGCACTGAACCATTCGAAGATGTCGCTCGATATCCTTTTTCCACTGATGATCTACTTTCTCATCGGTGGAGCTTGTGAACTCAGGTGGGTTCCCCTTTGTGAAGGAACTCCTAGCCTTTTCCCAAGGATCAATCTGAACCACTGGTGCTAGTGTAAGTGCCTATTGAACCTGTGGTTGATTCCAAAGTGCTGCTGTTACTCCTGCTTTTATAGCCCGAGCAATGAGGTCATTGATATGAGGAGGATACTCTGGATCTCTTCCCTGATCCTGAGTCTGCTGAACTTCATCCTGCTCTTCGTGAAACTGACCATCATCATCTTGAAACCCTAACAATTGCTGCTCTTCTTCCATTAACTGATGTTTTAGGAGATCTTGTTGCCTACATGCCGCTCTCCTTTGCTACTTGTTTCTTTGCATGTTCTGTCCTCTTCTAGCGTTAACCATTCTGTTAGCACAGAAAGATAGACATCAGTACAATTTTAAACAGATCGTACAGGAATACAACGAATCTTAAACTTAAGCTCTAGTCAAGAGAATATGCTACGCGGAAGTCTTATACGATAGAATCCTAGAGATACTTGAACCTGGAGTGCTCTGATACCAACTGTGATACCCCTCGATTCTAGAGCCACGGGTGATCAAGTTCGAGTACAGATCCGAGGGATACCAAACAATTAAGTATGTAAATGAACATAGAATACAAAAAGGATTGAAAAATAAATAATTAAATAAGCTGAAAGAATTCCAAATATTAAATCCTCAAAAGTTATAAAACTAATATAATCCAAACTTTCCAAAACCTCCAATATAAGTACAACTCAGAATCCATCTAGTTGACCCCTAATAAAATCCCCAAAAAAAATAAAGAACAAAAATAGAATCCAAAGCTAAAACATGAAAGGAAATCCTACGTAGTCAGAAGAGTGAGTATATGTCTCTGCTCAGCACGATCAAGCTCCAAGCCTGGAACTGACGAACACTTGAAAAATAAGAGTGGGCAGGCCCACGAGTAAGTTCTACTCTACTACAATCCATACAGAGACCCGATACACAGATACATTCTAGATAACTCAGCAATAACTAAAATAGTCCATATATGTATAAATACACATTATAGGATACTCATTATCCCATAGGTCTGTCTCAGCCTGAGTAGAAGGTAACATGCAAATCGCACATAACGTGGGAATGTATACCTAGACCTACCAGGGGACTAGGTATCTACTATATCCAGTTATCCATCCTACGCGATATACGCACCCTAATCATGATTCTGAGACTCAAGCTTATATCACGGTACCATAAGTATATATATAAATAAAATCCATCCAAACCAAGGTATGTTATTCAATTGTTCATTGATCTGATACGAAGTATAAGTAGGATTTAATATTATAATTAATTCATTCCCTTATTCCAGAATAGGTAGGACTTAGTGTTTTGAACTAATCCATCCCTAATATGCCACCGTCCCATACCGGTGCATACTATCCACAATAAAATCCATTAATTGATAAACAGATATAAATATTTCATCAATTAAAATCCAAAGCTTATGCATAATAAAAATATGGTAAATATATGATCATATTATGCATCCAATACAAGATTTAGAAATCATGTCACAGTTGTTTTAATTGCTAAAATAAGATTAAATAATTAAATCATCTATATCCATTAACAGCATGCAAACTTATTTAAACTTTCATACTGTTCAAATCATTAGCATATAGATAAAAATTATGCATCATTGGATCCTAATATATCATGAAAATTATTTAGAATCCCCATTTATTAACCCAAAACAGTTCGGAAATCCCAAAAATATTTAAACAGTGCCTAAAAACACTTCCCGTACACATCGTATCAAGATAGCAAGCTCTCAAAAGTTGAGAGCAGGCTTTGCACCAATGGGAGCCGGCTCCCCTACCCATGAAGCCAGTTATGTACCCCTTCACCATGGAGCTGACTCTCTCTCTCTCACAGAGAGCCACGGCCAAAAATATTTAGGGAGCCAGCTCCATCCCCTTGAGAGCCGGCTCTGTCCCTGTTTCCCATCATCGTCTTCATCTCCGACGATGTTAAAATCCCTCTGTAAGCCTTAGTTAAAGTCCCTAGATGTCCGACCATGTCCCAAATCATCCAGAAAAAAAAAACATATAAACCCAGTACGCATCGTTAACATGAACTAAAACATAATATGAAACAATTTATACAAGAAATCTATTTCAATTAATCGACACATAATATAGTTTAAAGTCTGAATTAACATGCATACAATAACAGTTTTAAAGTCCGATTAAACCCTGGAGACCATTTAGGCATGCACAGAACACAAGTCTAGGGGAGAGAGTAAGAATAAAACTTGCCTTTGAAATTTCTAGTTCAAAACCTCAAACTCCTTCTTCGCTAATTAATTCGACGAACTTAGTTCCTTTCACAAACCCTCTGTTGCTCCTGGTTCAACCCACGAGCAAGCTTCAACCACCCCTCCTTAGTTCAACCATTGTTCCTAGCTAAACCCTAATTTTCCCTCTCAGTTCTTTCTCTCTGCCTCCACTGTTCGTGAATAGGGTTCTCAAACCCTTTGTAAACACATAACGATATACATATATATAGGCTTCTATGAAAACCTAATTCTAATTCCAACCCAATTATAAGTTGGCTAGCCCAACCCACTTGATTTTATAAACATATATAAAACCCTAAACCTATAATAATACATATATTAACTAATGTTACTAATTTAAAACATTTACTCAAAACAAACAATTTATTTAAATTGTCACATAAGCTTATAATAATGAAAACAAATAATTCAATTAAATAAATAAACAAATACTTCAATTAAATAATTAAACAAATAAGTAAATAATCAATTAATCAAATATGTAATAAAATAATTAATTAAAATATTGAGACTATCTTTTTAAAATTAGGGGTATTACACTTTTGAGATTCCAAGATGTATTCAAGGTGGTATAACTGCTCATTCTGTAGGCAACACATGCTTTTGATGTATTTCATTTTCGATGATTCTTGAAATGAGAAATCTTGCCTTTTTGACAAAAAAAAAAAATAATAATAATAATAATAAATAAATATAAAGATACTTTTTACATTTTGTTCTTAAAAGATAGTGATGTAATTGAGAAAGAAAGTGAATTAGAAGGTACAGAAGAAATATAATGTTAGAACAAATTATTATTAATATGCAAAAGAATCTCAAAATTAGAAGGAGTCCAAAAGGTGATATTGTTGAGAGAGAAAAATAAAGTAATCATGAGATTAAAAAAAAAAATCGGTTAAAAAAACTTGTATTAATAAAGATAAAAGTAGTTGTATTTATTTGAAAATTAACTTAATAAACAAAGCATAATTAATACATTAACAAAAATATGTAAAAAATATATAATAAATTCACTTGTACGGGCTCTTCTTTCATTGGAGGCCTTCTGATTGAGTCAGCAATTCATTTGGCATCAACTCATCAACTTTTTACAAAATATTATTTAGTTTGAGAATAGTCCTTAGTTTGAGGTGAAATATAAAGAATATAATTAAATAGAAGACCAATCCACCAAAGTAGCTTGAATGAAAAGGTTTTTAGAGTTTTAGTATTTTGAAATATCAATTTCCATAGAAGATTAAGTACATTAAAAATAATCATAAATAAATAATTACACTCCCGTACTTTCTTAGTTGTACCATTAGTTTCCCTGTTCCCCTCTTAAATATCTTACACTTGTTATAGAGGTGGGATCCATCTTATGACTAATTTGAAGAAAACGAGTTCACTTATTTATTATTCCTTTAAATGCGTTGAAAAAAATGCAATTTATAGAGAAGACTTTGAAATATGAGATGTATCAGTATTGTCTTGGTGAAATGTAATTGGTGGAAGGAGAGGTGAAACTTGTGTGTGTGTGTGTGTGTGTGTGTGTGTGTGTATATGTATATGTATATGTATATGTATATGTATGTGTGGGTGAAGGGTGTTAAAAGGAGTAGGTCGTGTACGTATGATTTCTCACTGCGGTCTTGATAAATATAATTGCACGTATCTTCTGATTTTGATGAAAACTCAGACCACATTCAATGATTTATTAGAGAAATATATAAAATAAGTCACGCAGTTAAAACACCAAATTTTTTTATATTATTTGTCCTTAATTGGTATTATTAATTTATGATCTGTTAAAGATATGTCATTAATGTATTGATCGTATTAAGTTTAAATATTACTAAATTGAAAGATTTTTCAGTTATAAAAATACATTTATTTTTGCTTCCAATACAACTAATTTGAAACATTTACATAGACAGAAATCTACCTGCATTTAATGTCCTAAATATTTTGTCCCCTAATAGAAAGATTCCATGCACACTTAGCAGAGTCAAACCCTAATCTTCCATTTAAAAGGAGCTGTAGGCTCTTGTTCCTCGTTCAAAATCTTTTTCCTACGTACTGTATTTTTTTTTCCTTATATTTTTATTTTTATTCTTAAAAAATTCAAGTAAACACATACGAAAAGTAATCATACCATCTAAATTAACTTCCACAGGTACGTATACATGCTATCTTTTAATATAAAAGAATGATAACTAAGTGATATAGACATATATATTATGCTGTTTTATGCAACATTTTGTTGAATAATCAACTAAGCTAGGTGTCTCTGATTTGAATGAATGAAACAGAGCAATGATGGTGGGGAGAGTAGTGTTTCAAATGTTGGTTCTGATTGCAGTAGTTGTGGATGCTAGGCCTCAAAGGATTCTGGTAGATACTGATGTCAATCTGGATGATATCTTAGCTCTCTTTTATCTGTTGAAGCAAAATAAATCAGAATTCAACTTGCAGGTAGTATCATCACTTTTCAATCTTCTAATCTATGTATATGCATAGTATATATGACTGATATATATATATATATATATATATATATATATATATATATATATATATATATTGTAGGCAATTACTGTGAATTCAAATGAATGGAGTGATGGTGGACATGGCATTAATCATGTATATGACATTCTCTTCATGATGGGTGGTGATGACATCCCTGTTGGAGTTGGAGGTGAAGGTGGAATATTGCTGGATGGCACCATTGTTGGTGATGTTGGTGGATATCTTCCTATTATTGACCAGGTGGGTGCATCACCTTTTACTTGCCTACTACTTAACTTGTTTGTTTGGATGTAAAATAATTTTTAAAATTTTTTTATTTTTTAATATTTAGTTATCGTAAAATATTTAAAAAAAAAAATATATATATATATATATATATATATTAACACTTAACATAGGTAAATTTTTTATTAATTTTCAACAACTTATTTTACACGTCTCGCTCGAAGGATTAAACTTCAATCAATCTCGACCTAAATATTTATTAAATAAAATAAAATAAAAAACAAAATATTTTATGCCGAAATAAATGGAGAGAAACAATATTGGGAATTGGGAATTCGCCGCCTATGATGAATTTTCAGAATGAACCAAACGTTTGACCAAGGTATTCATGTTTTAATGTAGAGAGAAATATATATATTTGATTACTTGTCATATCAGGTTGGTTTCTCTTCAGTATGAACCAAATGTTTGACCAAGACATTCATGTTTTAATGTCACATTTCAACATTAATACCCTAATGGAGTAGAATCCTATGGACATAATTCATATTTGACCCATATAATATATATAAAATCAATGTCTTATATACCCATAGAAAATGGACTCAAGTTTCAAAACCGGATCTTTTTTTATTATTATTATTATTTTTTTTTATGTGTGCACTTATTCATGTCCGATCAAGATTTACGGCTAATATTAAAAAAAATCAATATCTGACCCAGTTTATAATCTGAATTCAAAATTTTAATCCAAACCCGATGAAATGGATTCCAGGTTGGATCAAATTTCAGGTCAACTTGTACCATTTCATGCACCCGATTATTATTATTATTATTATTTTTTCTTTAGTAAATTCTTTATTTTTCTTCAATGCATGAAACGAATGATAATTTGGGCTCCATTTTGGGTTCAATTTTTCCAGCATTCCTATAATTGGACCTTTGGGCTCCATTTTGCGTTTAATTGGCCCAATAATTTACTTGGGCTCAGTTTGCTTGGAAAGAAATTCTAGAAAATAGAAAAAAAAAAAAAATGGATGGATATGGTTTTAATGTTTGGAATAAAATTTTGAATGGAAAAGAAAGAAAATGGAAGGATTTGAAGAAGTAGGCTAGCATTTTTAATAAAATTTTATAAATACTAAATTTATTTTACAAAATATAAAAAAATGGATATAATAAGAAATTTATTAAAATAATTATTTTTCTTCAAATATTCAAACACGATTACTCTGGTTCCTTCTCATTTTCTTTGTTAATAACTTAATCAACCAAACAATCTAATGTCCTCTCCTCACCTCTCTTTTTATTTTCTTTCCTTTCTTTTCCTTTCCTTTCCCTTTTCTCTGTGACTAATGTTATTTTCTTTATTTTCTTTTCCACCTTACCCAAGGATAGGTTTATGACATTTTCCTTAATTTGGTGATGCCATTATTACACAGGACACTTCAACAGTTGGTGGTTGTAGATACAGACAAGCAATTCCAGTGGGCTCCAGAGGCCGTTTGGATATCAGTACTCTCTATGGCTTACGAAAAGGTTTTCTTCCTCAGGTACCAAAAATGGAAATGTTTGGTGAATTTTTTTTTCAGAACTATTTCTCTGTTTATTTATTATAGTGAAATTTTCTTGGTATATTGTATAGATATTATGACATGGGTTTTTATTTAAAGTTGATTTTGAAGTTCCTTTTATCATATTCTCTCTAGTTTTCATTGTCAATGGATCATTCAACTATGATGTCTATGTGCTAGATATATTTTTATTTTTTATTACACACACACACACATATATATGTTGTCTGTGTACTAGTATGCTAGATAGATTTTTATTTTATATTTTGTTTCCCAGTAAATAACACACTCACTCTCAGTGAAGACTTGAACCCTAAACCTGCTGTAGGTGAGAAAGTACCACCGGCCTGAGTAAATCTGATCATTTTAATTAATTAATTATTTATTTTTGTAGTTGATCAGAAAGTATTAAGAACAAGTAGATAACTTCATAATTTGTATAGATTGTACATAATATTTTATTGTTACATGTCGAATTTAAACATTGTTGAATGGAATGCAAAGAAATGGAGGGAAGAGAGAGAGAGGATTTTGAGTTAGTGAAGATCATAAGCTGGGAGCATACATATGGTTTTATGTTGATTATCTAATTATTGATTATTGATTCTTTTTTTAATTATGTAATGCTATAAATAGGTTGTCCTCTTGACAAAAGAGACATGAGCTCTCTTTATTAACCATAAGATCGAGATAAGATCGCTTTTCAATCTAGTAAATTAATAGGAGAGCTCACGGTTCTTGTCAATAGAGTGACCTCTTTATAGCATTACTCTTTCGAGCATCAATTTCCTTGTGCTCTTAACATTCATGAAATTCATTCATCATTGATGTTTTTCTTGCTCCATGTTTTGTTGTTTCTTTCATAAGGTTATGCACTCTAAATTTAATTTATATTCTATGCAAATATCTGCATAATGGTAGTTTTTCAAACTAAAAGGACTAATGTGTGTGCTGGTAATTTTTCTCACTAAACAGGGCAGCAGGAAATATGATCCTCTTCGGCAACCCACCGTGCAACAAGTGATGACTGATGCCATATCTGCAGGTCCTATTGTTGTTTTTCTAATGGGAGCCCACACAAATTTGGCCATTTTTCTTATGAAGCATCCTCATTTGAAGAAAAATATCGAGCATATCTATGTCATGGGTGGTTCTATTAGGCCAAACTGTCCCAAGAAGGTCAAGCACTCTTCCGGATCAGGGCAGTGTGGCAATGTTGGTAATTTGTTTCCAGACCACTCCAATCCATATGCCGAGTTCAATATCTTTGGAGACCCTTATGCTGCATACGTGGTAATACAAGTTATTTCGATTGTGCTTTTGGAATCTTGGTAAAAAGATTTTGGAGAATGTGAAATGGTGGTTTTAATGCATTTGAATTAGTCACCATTAGAGTGGGCGCCCCCTTAACCATGTAGACACGTTTTGAGAAAAACCGAAGCTAAGGAACCTATAACAGTTTTCTTTTGTTGTAGGTTTTACATTCTGGCATTCCGGTCACACTCATTCCACTTGATGCAACAAATACAATTCCGGTGAGTGAGAATTTCTACAAGGCATTTGAAGCGAATCAGATTACATATGAGGCGAAATATAGTTTCCAATCCTTAAAAATGGTTCACGACACCTGGTTCAGTGACAACTTTCATGAGGTAATGTCCTAGATGATTCATATTATTCTCCATTTTGCGTACACATATGAGAATGTAGGGTCTGTTCAATTTAATTTGGTGAATGATTAAGTGATGTCTTTCAGCAGAATTTCTTCATGTGGGACTGTTTTATGGCTGGTGTAGCAATATCAATTATGCGCAATTCACACCATCAACATGGAGAAAACGAATTTTCCCATATGGAATATATGAATATTACAGTAGTTACTTCGAATAAACCTTATGGAATATCAGATGGTTCAAATCCTTTCTTCAATGACCGGGCAATCCCAAAGTTTAATTTGCAAAAAAACGGAGATCAAAGTGGCCATGTGCAGATGGGAATGCGAGATCCTTTCTGCCTTGTGCTCAATGGGAAAGGGAGGTGTCAGGTATTGGTTCGCGGATTGTAGCAATTTTGGATCATGCCAAATTATTATATTGCTGATATTAGTTGATCATACTTCAGCTGATTGCGCGTAGAATATGCTTTTGCTAACAAACTTTGATACAATTCTCACAGGATGGTTACACAAAGGAGGTAACTGGTCCAGAAGCAGTGCGCGTTCTTGTTGCAACAGAAGCCAAACATACTGATGATGTTAACAGTATGCTTGACAAAAAATTTTACAAAAACTTCTTGGATGTAAGTTATTTCTGGGATTCTATCTCTAGAAATTCTCAATGCTTGTGTTGAACATATAGGAACACATGTAATGAATCGAACATGCTAGCAGTACAAAGGTGAGACACTAACATGACCGGACAATTATATGTAGTCAACTGCCATGCATTCTTTATGGTAAACTTGTAAATTTTGAGCTGCTGATGAATAGAACTCCCTGATACATATTTTGTTGGATGCAGGTTATAAACCGTCCCGAGCAAAGTGGGAGGTTTAATGTTGCAACACAATTTCCCTATTACAAGAGCATTACTCGCAAGCCGGATTATGGAACAAGAAAAACTGGAAAACCAATTCTCTTTGACATGGATATGAGTGCTGGAGACTTTCTAGCTCTTCTCTACCTCCTGAAACTACCAACGGAACTTGTAGACCTAAAGGTATGGAAGGTGGTATTCCATTTTTGATAATTTTGTTTGAAGTAGCGAAGTCCATTGAAACATGTCATTGATTGAAATTATCTGCAGTACAAGTTATTAACCTCTATGTTACTTCGAAGAACTTAGTTTCGTTCACACCAAATCTTGAATAAATTATGTTTCACTTCAACTTCAACAGTTACAAATTCTGTACTGTAAAATATCGGGAATTTGCTTCTTAGATGGCATTTCAATGTTTGTCCAGGGAATATTGGTAACTTCAACTGGTTGGGCAAATGGTGCAACAATAGATGTCATATATGATGTACTTCATATGATGAATCGCGATGACATTCCAGTCGGTCTGGGAGACGTATTCGCAACTGGCCAAACAGATCCATCTTTCCCTTCTATTGGAGACTGCAAGTATAGCAAGGCTATCCCATATGGTTCTGGTGGCTTCTTAGACTCCGATACACTCTATGGTCTTGCTCGTTACTTGCCTCGTAGTCCTCGAAGGTGGTATTCTTAGTCTCTTCTCTTACTTTGGGTATATATATATTTTCAAGGTCATCTTTGATGGTGTGCATGATTTGCTGCATGTTGAACATTTTAAGTTAATACTGAATATAAGCAAAATATGAGACAATGAAAGAAGGTTAGCCCTAAAAATTTGCTTTTAGGGCTAACCTTCTTGTTCATTTGTATTTTACTAGTATGTTATGGAATCTGCCTGTATTAAATTTGAATTGATGATTCAGGTACACAGTAGAGAACTCTGTAAAATTTGGAGCTCCTCGAGATACTGACCACCCTGAACTTAGACAACCATTAGCATTAGATGGATGGCCTTCTTTTTTTGAACCCATTTTTAAGGAACTCGAAAATCAAATTGGTCAATTGAAAAATAAGTCTTTTATAGTTCTAAGAGTTTTAAATGAAAGAAGGTTAGCCCTAAAAATTTGCTTTTAGGGCTAACCTTCTTGTTCATTTGTATTTTACTAGTATGTTATGGAATCTGTCTGTATTAAATTTGAATTGATGATTCAGGTACACAGCAGAGAACTCTGTAAAATTTGGAGCTCCTCGAGATACTGACCACCCTGAACTTAGACAACCATTAGCATTAGATGTATGGAAGTCCATCATAAAATCGCTTGATCCGGGATCTAGAATCACTGTGCTGACCAATGGACCGTTGACCAATTTAGCCCAAATCATCAGTTCAGAGAATATTAACTCCACAATTCAGGTTAGTTTTCTTATTTGTAGTTGTAGTAATTGTCATTTTAAGTAATATTCATCAGTCATGTCAGTGTATGAGTGCAGCTGCACCAATTCCAATGAAGGGATAATTGATTCAAGAAACTAAGATTGTTCTAATAGAGAAAGTACGGAAGATGCACCGGTTAGGAGAGGAAAGGTCTTTTGCCTAGAATGTAAGCGACTGAGGGCTGCCAAAACTTACATCGGATGAAGTAATTAAAAATGATTTTAAAAAATCAAATATTGTAAGAGACATGATTTATAATAGGAAAGAATAGAAAAGAGAATTCATGTAGCCGAACTCATTCATATGGGACAGAGGCAAAGATGACGATGATGATTGTTGGCTCTGTAGGTTGTTAGTCGTTTTTGGACATACCGGATAACCAGATGGTCAAATGTTCTGATTCCTGTTGCAGGAAGTGTATATAGTTGGGGGACACATTAGCCATGAAGCCCATGACAAGAAGGAAAAAGGAAATCTCTTCACTGTTCCTGCAAATGACTATGCAGAATTCAACATGTTCCTTGATCCTTTAGCTGCAAAGGCAGTTTTCGACTCAGAAGTGAACATCACACTCATTCCTCTCGGTATTCAGAGGACAGTTAGTTCTTTCAGAGAAGTTCTTGAAAAACTGCAGCTCACTAATAGGACTCCAGAAGCTGTGTTTGCTCGGCATCTCCTTTCAACGCTGTGGCAGTTGCAACAGAAGCATCACAGATATCATCACATGGTAAAGCTATTTACTTTCAAGAATCTAAAAGAATTCTTGTATTCTTTTACAAAAATGAAATTAAATTCATTAAATTCGAAAGTTGTGTACACTGAATTCATGGATAATCCGTCTCAAAACATAGAAAAACACACTGAAAGTATAAAGATCATCATCCAAAAGAGAGGAGAAAATGGAGAACAATTGCCACTAGACATGAAAACACTTTATGACATACAAAGTATAGCTAAACAGGTTACCATGAGAAAATTTTGAGTCGAATGATTTAAACTTGTTCTACTAGGTTTCTGCCAAGATAGAAAACATGTTCTACTAGGTTTCTGCCAAGATAGAAAACATGATGGGATGAATGGTAATAAATGGAAGGGCTGGCACAGTGCACAAGGCTCCCGCCATTGCGGGATCTGAGGAGGGTCAGACGTACGCAGCCTTATCTCCGCATGGAGAGGCTGTTTCCGGTTTTGAACCTGTGACATCCAGGTCACAATGTATGAATGGTAATAATCCTATATGAAGAAACCTAAACTAGGCTAAGAAGATTATAGAAAGTTTACCATGGGTAAAAAGTTTTTTCTCAGCAGGAGTTTACTTTTATCTGATTGACACTTCACAGGATACTTTCTTGGGAGAAATCCTTGGTGCAGTGATGTTGGGTGGCAACCATCATCTAAACCAGACCTTTCAATTTAAGCAGCTCGAGGTCTCGGCAACTGGTGACATTTCAAGAGATGGACAGATAATTATAGATGGAAAACAAGGAAAATCTGTCAGAATATTAGATAGTGTTGATCATGAGGCATATTATGCTCATTTTGCCAGTGTTTTAGGTGATAAGAGGAATGCTGCTGTTATAGGGAGCTTTGATGACCAGAAAAGACTGTGGAATACACCACCAAAACATGACTGAAATGAGAACAGTTCATATTTTGCTGAGAAGTGGGATATATATATATGTTGACATGTGATAGTCTGTATTTTAGATGCTGACATTTTGAGAAGGAAAAAGGAATACAACTACAGATTTTTCACCCTTTTCTAGTTCTGCTTTGTTTTGTTTCATCCATCTTGTTCTTTACACACGCACACATGTATAATAAAAAAAAAAATTAAAAGCAAACTATGAATATCATTGCATTGTGATTTGTGAGGCTTGACAATGGATCAGATCATCGTTCAAATAATTTTTAGTTGAACTGGCTATGCTCCTGTAAACAGGCATATATTTTTTTAATATAGTTCAAAAGTAAGCTATGCTCCTGTATTTAATCATTCTAGAACTTCTAAACTTTATCAACAGATTTGCCAATACCTTCAACTTCAAGTAAATAGTTTTATGATAGTTTATTTGGCGAAAAGAGATGGGCACTGACTGCAATAACAATAATTAAAAATATATAAAAATAGACAAATCATGGTCACGTTAAAAATAACTCTCTCCACACTGGAAAAAATTGTTAAATTTTTTTTTTTTTAATTTCTTTAAGTTCCATTTGAAATCCAAAATTGCTCCAAAGTTCCTAAGAGTCAAACAAGTTGAAATTGTGTGTCAAAACAGTCGAACAATTGGAAAAAGGACTCCCAACTCTCTTTCGAAAACTGAGTGTCAAAACACACACACACCACAATATCTAACTACTTAATATGAATTTTTGTATACATATTTTACACACATTGGCTACTAAATCATCAGATTATAGATGAAAATTGAAGAGGCCATTACCCACCTTCAAGATAATTGCTTCTTTTAAGACAATTTCTTGCATTTAGAACATGAGGCTTTAAATTTTCACAAATAGAATATATATCTACACACGATTTCAAAAACAATAATGCTTCAGCAAACTTCATTTTTGTAAATCAAAATGAGCTCTTTTTCAGTTTCCTTCTTATTTTTTTTTTTTTCATTGAAAACAAATGGTGTTACACAGCATGAAAGAACATGTTTACACAAATAATGTCTCATGAATTTTTATATACAAAATGTACATGTCCATTTGAAGGGAAAAAAAATTAGGCATTTTTTTCCTCCAGCGAAACTTTGATGAGCAAAGAATAGGTGTCACAACTTCTGTGAATTAGCAGCATTTGGTTCTTAAAGCAGCAATAGCAGCAGCACTATTTACAAATAAATACGCACAACCTTCATCCGGCTGACCTCAAACCAACCTTTCGACGACATTTTTACTGCAAATTTTGGGGTGGCATATGGCTAGCGTGCGGGAAGGCAGGAGTCAGCCTGCAGTAAGAAACAAATGTTTAGTTAAATTAGGTAAAAACTGTAAAACTTTATGGTATGGAGCTTCAGGGACTATAAATCAATAGCTCCATATTGTAAATTAATTTATGTGATTTATACCACAAGTAACAACACCTGCAACATATAGAAGTAAGTGGCATGCAATCAGACCATCTTCCTTCAACATCCATAACTAAATTGAAATAGCCTCAAAATAGTTTCGCAACCCTTTAAAAGATCCTTCACCCTTCAAAAAAAAGAAACAAAAAAAAAGAAGAAGAAAAAGATCCTTCAAACACAGTCTGGATATTTTAAATGTCTATTTCAACACATTTTTAAAAGAAAAACTACAGAGAAAAAAAAAAAAAAAAAAAAAAAAAAAAAGGTACCAAAATTACGATTAAGCTTTAGATTTGTCAGATGAACCTAGTGGCTAGTGTGTATGAAAGGTGAATGCATTGTAACTTGAGTCCTTTTTGGTAACTTGTACATATGCTTATCCACTTTGGAGGTCCAGGGATCATAAGAAGCAATTTTTATGCCTCTAAAAGATACCAAGTTTTGGCTCAATTCATTAGCATGATATGCATAAAATAACGAAACATAAACCAATTTGAAAGAAACAAGAATATCATGCTAAAAATTGCAAACGATTAATATGTAAGAAAATCCAAACTGCATAATTTCCTTCAGATCCCTACCTTCTTCAGAGAAGGCAAACATAACTCCGAGCATGTCATCGTTGTCCTCATCTTCCTCAGCTTTCGCCTTGCCACAAGGACTAATGCTGCTGTCAACATCAGTAACAACTTCTGTTGATTCAGAGTATCCATCACGAGTTGATGCTTTATAGTACCCCTCTTGAAAACACTGTCCAAAATCTAGTGGGTCGTGCACATCTTCATGCACTTGCCCGTTATCAAGAATTTTCGTAGTCGAGTCAGAAGGATTAGAACTTGTGTTTAAAACTTTGCTGGTCACAGCACTATTTGAAGGCTGAACTTCCCCGGTATCAGTTTTTCCAGTAGAAAGTGAGCCACTCTTTGGAGTAGATGGACTATTTACATCATTACATTCTCCACCAGAAGAAACTCCATTTCTTGATAGTTCCAGAGAAGTTAAAGTGTCACCTCTGCTAAAGGAGCTTTGGTTCAGTGGAGGTGATGATAAAATTGCACTCCGACTTTTTAACCCATCCTTCCCATTTGCAGTTGGAACAATAAAATGATAAGACTTCCCTGTATCTATTTTATCTAAACCATGCACAGGTGCAGGTGTTCTTGGTGACCCTGATGGAAAAACCAATAATCAAGTCGTATTAATAACCAATTTTTAACAAAATTATGTAAAAACATAAGGTGCATTTCAGGGACAAATAAGTGTCTTACCAACTACTACTTTTTCAACAAAGCCAGGTGACACCAGATTAGGGTGGGAAACTACACTATCTTCTGCAAACTTATCTTTACCACCATGAGAATAAGAACATGTAGTTGAATAACTTCCCCCAACAAGGCCACTCTGAGAATAAGAAGATGCAGCTGAAGAATATTTGCCTCCAACAAGACTCCTGCAGAAACACGTAGTAGGCATCAGATAAATATATCAACCATCAAACACCCGTTGGGAGCCACCCTAGCTGATTATGGTCTTAGCTCATGTTAGTAAAGCATAATGTGGTACATTCCCATGACTGATCCTTATAAACCAGTGCATACCCATAAATGATAGCTTGAGCAACAACTTTTCAAATACGTTTCTGGTTTATACCACCAAATATAAGTATATGTTCAAGTATGATATGCACAATATTTATTGTTTAAGTTAAACAAAAGTACCAAACGACCATTAGGCAATGGGAAAATGAGACTGTCCCTTTGTTAAACACTTGGTGGAAGGGAAAATATACAGGTCACAGACTCTGACAGAGCCATATTAGTCACTGCAGTGTAGGATTTCTTGAACGAATATTAAAGTTGCTCCACCCTCTTCCACTGCTTTCGATTATTTTATCATTCTAAATTTCTAAGCCTAGAAAATCAGCTTCAAGCCAAATTCACTAGTCCAAATGTCAAACTTAAAATCTAATACTCCGTATTCAACTTGAATTAAGTGATTGGGCTGCAAGGATTGCCATTATATATTACTTTGAAGAAACCTTTTTTCCCAAATTGATTTGTGATGCTGAGTCAAGATTAGTTGAATCTCGTGATTGACACTGTAACCTTAATACATTAGATTTTCCGTCATTTTTAGTTTAGCTATATTCTGATTATTCTACTTGTTAATTTAGTTTTTTACTCTTGGGAACTTTGTTGTTTTTCTAGTACTTAAATCCTAAGGGAATAGTACTTAAATTAATATGTTAATCATTTAATTAATTGACTTTAGCACATTAATCGTTTGACTTTGGTGCTCAACTTAACAATATATGATAGCTATTTAGCTACTAAGAGAATTAATCGAAAGCTATTAAGAAAAGAAAATAGATCTCCATATGGAGTCATTGATTCAGGGAAAGCCTATAAGAGTCCCCGGATATAAAATATGATGGTTTTACAAAACAAAATAAGTCATGGATAGATTTGGTGATATAATGAAATGGGTATATGATAGGAATGTGATTGTAATAAGAATGGCTGCAGTAGAAACAAATGAATTTTAAATTACTTAAAGTTTCAGTTAATTAAGAAACCACATAAATTCCCTGTCTTTTTTGCCTTGATTACAAATGATCGAAATGACGGTTTATGGTGTACTCTATTTACTGATGAAGTTTCAGCCTTGGAGCTTCTACTACTATCAGCTACCTACCTGTCTTGGTCCAATGGTTTGATTGATGAAACTAACAGATGAATAAGAGATAAAGTTAGAGGTCTGGACAGATACTCCAAAATCAAGAGAAGATGAGTAGAAATCAGATTGCATATGCAGAAAGTAACATGAACAAAACTAGAAATGCAAGTTGGGTTGTACTGAAGGTCAATGATTGCAAGATACCAGAATGCGATAATTTCATACCTAAGCTTGATTTTTCACACTCGTGCAGTGATCCAAGATAACGTTTCTCATATAATAAATCCAAGATGAGTTAAATGAGTACTTCTATCATATTGTGTGATCAATCTATACATCCAAGACTAAAAGGTAAATTCTAAAAAAAATAGTTATTAGATCTAACATACTTCCTGATGTGTAGTTATATACAATGAAAGCCAATAATTAAGATATTGTAGTTATATAAAACCAAAGCATCTTCTGAAGATGTCGTATACTATTACATTTGTTAAAAGGTCAAAAAAGCATCTTTGAAGATTAAAAGGTAGAAAAATAATTAAGATAGTGTAGTTATATGCAACAAAAGCCAATAATTACTCCAGTGAAGAAGAGTAATGTGGTATATATTGAAAGTAAAGCTAGAGAATCGGAAGACTAAAATTAACATGAATTGAGATATTAGAAAGAGAGATGATAGGATGTGACTTAACCAAATTATGGCATAAGTAGAGCATAATGGAGAAACACGATTCATGTAGTCAATCCAAAATAGTTTGGACAAGGCTTGCTTGATTTCAGTTGAGTTGCCAATTAAAGAGTCTTAGCATCAGGATTAGCAACAGATATATATATCAGGTACAAAGCTTAAAAAGTAAATTCTTATCCAAGAGGAGTTATAATAGGATAATTACTAAATGGTCAAGCTAGATTCAAACTACCAGATTTCCAAACTAATTCCAACAGCAAACGTCCACATCCAAAAATGTACAGATAGCATTCCATCTTAACCAATTCTTTAAGCATGAGATCTTTGAGATCTGACAGCAGGAGAGAGAATGATATAGAAAGTATGTAAACAAGGCCGGCCAGAACAACACCAGTAAAATGGCCTGGAATAACAACTGGCATTGTTAGCAAAATGTAGAATCTCATTATCCAAAAAATGGATATTGTAGAATGCTCAAGTAGGAATTGTTCATTCATCTGCTAATGACTAACGTAACATATCATATAAATGATAACAAGTTAGAACTTGCACAAAGATAACTAACAATTACCTATCATCAGTCTGATAGGACTGAGACCTGTGGAAATAGTCAAAAACAGGAAGTAAATCCTTTTTCTTCATTTCAACCTCGTGAATAGGAATCTTTTCAATTTCAATCTCTCCACCAGTATAATCTTTAGCGAGATTCTGCTCTTCACCCCCCAGTAGACTCATAGTCAAGAAATTTATCTAGAATACACATCGAAGGATCATAATCATACATAGAAAGAGTCAAACATACGAGCATTTCAGAATCGAAAATATAATTCTTTTTGTGATAACTAGAATGAAACTTATGGTTATTACCTTAGACTTTTGCCAAATAGGTATTCTCCCAGTCCGCACCTGTACCTCTGCATTGGAGAGATACCAATGAGATCGTTCATTTGTCTTTACCGAATCTGTTTCCCCAATATCATTATCTTCACAATCAGAAGTATCTGTGACTGTCTCTGCAGCTTGTTGTCCACAAAGAGCAATCTCATAAATGCTTTCCTCTCTTTCTGGCCAATCTGCTCTTCGACAGACATCCCACCATTGAACAGGTTCACCTTTCACCCGTAACTCCTCCTCTTGCATCTGCACTGATGAACCTGTTCCAGTTCTTGAAATAGATTCAGCTTGTTCTCCCGCCATTAAAGGCAGAAGTTCATGTTTAATTACATTACCAGAAGGAGTATAAACCAATAGATGTTCCAAAGCACTGGCATTTAAGAGAGTAGGCTGTAAATGAGTTCGTAAAGAATTGTGAAAAACTGCAGCAACTACACCAGATGACGTAGAGACCTTTCCGGCTGCAGAAGTTGCAGCATTACTCACTGTATTAAGCCAACCAGAATTACCCGTTCTTATCCTGCCAACCACAGAAAGAGTAACAGGCAGTGGTGGGGGAACTGACTGCTGGCTTATCATAAGAGATGAAGCAGACCACCATGGTAGTGATAGAATAGGAATGAGGGTAGGCCCATCAGTATAAGAATTTTGTATTTGAAGGCCGGTCTCGCCACCAAAAGGGGATAAAACAAAAATATGGCAGGTTCCCTTGGATGAAACAATTGCTATCCATTGACTATAATGACTAAAGCAAATGTCTTGAATTACCTGTTAGATAAGCACAAGGTATTTAAGTCTCATATAAACTGTTACATAAACAAAAATAAATAAATAAAATAAATGCCCCATGAGTATATAGAAAAATAAGGAATATGAAACAGCTAGGGTATGAACATACAGCCGAAGTCATCCCACGATGAAGCTTGTAAAGGTGAACATGAGAAGAACTCCAATCATAGCTTTGAGTGCTAGACCCATTTTGGGAGTAAGCCGGAATGATCCGAAAGATATTTATATTGTTCCCATGTATGGAGGCAGTAACAAGAAGAGTCCCACTTGGGTCGAAACATAGAGCAGATATAGGACTGTTATGAGCCCTAAATTGTGACACAACAGTTCTTGATACGAAATCTTTTATAACAACCTGCAATTAATGAGAAGAAATAATATTATCATGCTAGCTTTAATGATTCTAATTGCTGGCCAGAACACAAAACCGCATCACTTAGAATGTAAAATTCTCTAGGCTGTGAATGCGTGGTCAAGAAGGGCAGCAATTTGTACAAATATGTCAAAAGTAAGTTTATATCTAGTCCAACCCTCCCAACACCCTCGGCCACAAGTAACCACATTAGGTAATGGCCTTTAATCTCTCTCATAATTTGTAAATCTCCAGTCGTCAGAGAGGCTTTAACATCTAGAGAAGTAATCAGATTCACAAAACATTTTCTTTTTTCTACATATATTGTATGGGTAAGTTGGCCTTGAAAAGATGAGATATTGGCAAAATTGTAGATTCCCGCCCAAACATTTAAAATTGAATTTTGTATTATAAAAAACAACAAAATTAATTATATTTCATGAAGACTAAAAAAATGACTTTTGTGCAAAACAAATTGATATTGAGTCTTTTTCTTCATAAACATCGACTGTGACAAAAAACTGACTTTATTATACTGGTTGTAAATTGTGTAAAAGACGAACCATCCCAGCGATATCTGTTTCAGTTGAGTGCGCTGCATTCCTACCAACTTTCCAGTTGGAATTTGTTGACGTAGGAGAACCAGAAGCATCAGGAAGAAGCTCGTGACAGTATTTAGAGAAAGTTTTGTAGCCCATATCCCCCAGATTAATTAATCCCGCAGCTAATTGCTTACTTGATTCCATGGCGTACCGAGCTACCAGATTTCCACTGCTAGGTGAAGTAGAAGGACTAACACCTGGAGAAGGACTAAGACTTTGGGGACTAAGGCGTCCTGTGTTTGACAATATTGGGTTGTTGGAAGCATACGCTAACCACCTGGTGCCCACAGCCATTGGACCATAGCCAATATTAACTCCAACCATCCCGTGGCCTCCCAACTGAGGAACAGGATAAGTAAGGACGCTGAATTTATTCTCAAGGGTGAGTGCATCAAAACAGTATATCTGCCAGAAAACATAAAAACAGATTAGCCATATCTTGATTGTTGGCACCAGTAGTAATCAAAATCATGTAAGCTTTGTTTCAAGATGATAGAACCTTCCTTCTGGTATGTTAAAGAGACTCGATGAACAATCCCTTGAAATTTTTTTTTTTTTTTAAAGTTTCAATCAGATAGCAATGAACATTTGGTCTGTTCAATTTTGTCCAGAATATTTTCCCATGAAAATTATAATTAAATAGTCCCAAACTAAGGTTTATGCATACCATAATCATCACTATTCGCAAAGTTAGACCTGTAGTAGATGAATTACCAGATATGATATTCAAATAATAAACAAAACTACTACCTAAATAAGAAAATTAATATAAGTATATGCTTACTTGCGATGCGAGACCCACGGCCACTATTTGTGGACTACATCTAACCATATAAACAGCTGACCGGAATCTAAGAACGTGGACATAACTATGAGACCTAAATGAGTAAAACCGAACAGCTGTAGGAGAGTTAATAAAGTTTCCTGTTTGAGGTTCGATATAATTGTCTCTGACCAAACCATCTCTCCCATTTTGCATCGTACTTGAGCTTCTTGTTTCATCACTTGCAACTACTAAGAGCAAAGGATGTGATGCTCCAAATCCTTCACAACCTTCAGATTTTGCAGGGAGAGGCTGCATCTGTAAGAAAGTGACTGGATCATCACGCCTTGAAACCAGTTCACGGACATTTGAAGTATCTTCAATATCAAGAACTTGAAAACCATTGGAATAACCAAGTAAGAGGACACGATTGACGGAAGAAGAACCAAGTTCTAGTCTGTCAAAGCAAGCCCATAGCACCTGTTTGGCCAAAACAATTCAGAGCATGCTGGTACACGTGATAAATATAAAATAAATACAAAGATAGCAGAAAAACTGGTATTCATGAAAGCAGAATGCAACAAAACAAGAAAACGAGTGGGTATATCAAACCTATCAATACAAATTATGTTAGAACAAATCATTGACTCGGCGGCAGTATGATGCATATGTAACAAATTGGAGCATTTGAGCCTACCACTCCAACTTCTAGAAGTTCACACCTTTTGCATGAACAAGATATTTTCTCGCTAATTTTATCCATGTCACTTGTGGCTATCTTGTCCATCATTCAGCAAGCAATGTTGTAGTGTAACTATATGTAGGATGGAGGGCAAAATGACAAAATAGGAGAGTTCCATGGAAGGAAAAATGCAGCCACCTGTTTTATATTAGTAGATACATATATGCACAAATACATACATATATATAAATCATGTTCCTTTCATCGGTTAATCAGTTATGACCTTATTTAATATTTTTATTTTATCTAAATATAAAAATAAAATTTACGTCAAATAGGGCCTAAAATAGGGATTTAACTCATTTTCAAGCTATAATCAAATGAAATTAAATTATTCGGTATGATTTTTAGATAAATGTCCAACCAAATGTGTCGACACATTCCATATCTCTGTCCTGACATTTGTGTCTGACACAGGTTCCTCATATACTTTTGAAGAGTACAATTATCATAGTTATGTTGCACATGGCATAATTATACAAACTTGAAGAGTGATCCTCATTTTGACTTCAAAATGCACCGTCTTGTCCTATCTTTTTCTGGTTTGGCTATCCATTCACCTTATTAAACTTGTTTCAGCGACGCCTATTTTTCAAAGGTAAGTTCTTCAGTGTAGATACCATAAAAAATGGCTAATCTTTAAGCCATCTCATAACAAATCAGCCTTCAACATTTTGTAGATGAGTTATTTGGAACTTATTCTTCATCAATTAGGCTAAAGCATCATTAATTATGCACTAAGAGTCCACATCAACACAACTAAAGGCATAAATTGCCAACTATAATTTAGAAGTAAGATATTTTATATGGACCTAGGCACTTATATTACATGCAGGTACAAGTGGACCTCCCATCATACCAAATCTTAGTAAATGCACACTTGGCGTGAATCATGTCCAAAAGTTAGGGGTGGATACTTGGACACATCCTAAACATAATAGGTTATGCTAATAGTAACATATGATACTACTGTTCTTTAAAACATACTGCATTATAATTTAAATTAAATAGGATGAGATTAAAAAGGGGGATTCCATATCAAACTTAAACTTTTCTTTAAAAGGGGGGATTCCACATCAAACTTAATCTTTTCTTCTTCCTCATCATCACATGTAGAGGATCCAAGTGTTCAACATGGGTGCGAGTGTCGATGTTGGGCGAAAGGTAGTTGTAGAGGAGCAGTTGTGAAATGGCAATTCCACCCTTTCCATTGTAGGGATTGGATCTTCCATAGACACCTGAGACCTCCCTAAGGCAGGCTAAACATATCCTCTACCGATACACAGCATGAAAGGAAACAGGAGAGTCCATGTAACAAAAGGAACATAAATCTCAAGTTTTGACAATGGAGTGTATGGAGGCAATGATTTTTTTCATATATTATGATATATAAGACTATGTAGATTATTGTGAAGATTGATGTCGTCATTTAGTTACATTTTCTTAAAGCAATGAAATGATGAATCTTCAACAATTATAGAAATAAACAAATGTAAGTGAAGGAGGTAGTGATAAAATATTATGAAGATCATATAAATTGTAGATAAAAAAAACCAGGGAATTATGGCCCGAGCAGTGGAATAGGAACACAGTTTTTACATGAGATGGAGAATGCTTATCGGCGTTATAATATTTGAAAGTTTTGAGTTAAAAAGTTGAGGATAGAGAGAAGTAAACCATAGATAGAATTGTCGATTTTACGAGGCATTGTATATATGAGTCCAACTGATCAAAATAAATAGTATGGATATAGTATAAATTAAAACCAGATTGATAATGAGGGCAAATAATGGGGTAGAAAGGCATTTTTTTCAAGGCAGGAATAATGGAACTATTGTATCAGCTTCCAGCTGTAAAACCCAATCTAAATGGAATGACTAAATGTTTCCTCAGAGGTGTTGGAGAATGGTAAAGAATGAGGTGACGCATTTCACTGATTTGATTCCACATAAGAGCATCACAGATGATATCAGGGGCTTTAGGTCAATTGGTCTCTTGGAATGAATTGACAAGCTCTTTATGAAGGTGTTGGCCATCTTGTCTCAAAGAATGGCGTTCAAAATGGTTATGGAAATACCTTTCTGAGTTTGAGGCAAATTTTGGATGCAGGATTGTTAAATTATGTATGTTTCAATTCAACAAAAAAGAGTGAGGAGCCAGGTTTGATTTGTACATTGGGTATTTAAAAACCTGTGATCATATTATTTATGTTCTGGAGAGGCCAAGTTCTCAAAACTAGTACAAGAAAATAAAAAGGCCATCTAGTATCTAACAAATAGTGACAGATATTAATCTATATTGCTCAATTCTGGTGAAGGGAATGAATCTAATTGTAACTTCCATAAAAATTCTTGCATCATCGTTTTCCTCTTACACTGATTTCAAAATTCTTCTTGAAAATTGGAACTACCACACGGCCCACAACTATCAATTTACAATGGAGAAAATGACTTTGGGATGTTTATTTGACATGATGTTACACGGACACTTCAAAATGTGTGTGGTATTCAACTCAGAATTGACACAACAGATAATGTGCACAGTATGTCTTCAACTAGTTCTTTTTCACTAAAAGTTTTTCAATGAAATACTTTCCTAATTTCTATATCGCATGGATATTCCATGATAAGTGAAGTACTTTTTGAGTTCATTATGTTTCATAAACATGTGACCTACCATAAAAGATAGAAGAAGAACACTTGACAGTTGAACAATTCAACAATATTGCATGTACTAAGATTTGAGTATAAAATTGAATCCGATAATCAAGCAAACAACCATATTTCAATGTGAACCATGTCTGAATACTCTCTCTTATCACAAGAAACATAACAAGAACAACCATGCACAAGAATACTTATGCTTGGTACTCAAATTGGTACTAGCATCCTGTGACCAAGATTCATCAACACATTCAAACTCTGTATCTATCATTCTATGAGCTTTAAAAACCACTAAGTTGTAATATTTTTGGGTACCAAGAAACACAAGTTAGAAAGATGGAAAAGAAGTGAGGAAAGAAGAGTCTGTTGATGTGACAAAAGAAAATGAATCGGAAGAATGATGAAGAAAATAGTAACATGGCTACATTAGCATGAAGACAACTGCGACTGTCTCCTTTACTTTTATCTTTTTCTTCATACATCTAAACATATTCATGACTAGTTGAGTATGACAAAGCTACTAGTAAAAAATAAGCTAATCAAGTATTAGCGCTGTAACTAGTGTGGTTCAAACTGGAAGCTTTTCTCATAATTTGAAGCACTCAACTCACAGATTATAGTAAATTTTCAAGTTACAATATATAAATAAAACAAGAAAGTAATTCACAATTGAAAAAAGCAAAAGCTTTATAGATTGTAGCATACAAAATTCTTATTTCTTACTAAGTAATGTTTCCTAATACAATCACATAGAAAGTGCAATATATGCTACCAACTAAATATCAATAAGTGCAAGATAAAATGTTGTGCTAATTCTTTTTATTTGTGCTTTGAGTCAAATCAGGAGTTTAATTCATTTCCTCCAATAATTGAACTGGTCAAGAAACAACAGGCGGCAACTAAAAACAATCAATGCCCATCTGGTTGCAAATGCAAACAATATTAACAACAAAAAAGCTCAACTCTTTGGTTCCCAGTTAAAAAAGAACAAAATGAAGAACCTCCAAAAACCTTTATATAACCAACCACAATACAACTGCTTAGCAGAAATAAAACTTTTCTTTGGTAGGTAAAGATGCATGCTTTATTTTTCATTTCATTAATCAGGAATTATGTCCTGATTTCTGTTATTCATTGATCAGGAGTTTTATGCCTATAAAATCATTCAATAGTAAATCACCATTTGCAACAAATACAATCAACTATGTGGGCTTACTTGAACTGACATTTTCAATTCTCGGAAAGCAAAAAGAAAGCTTTCCTTTCCTTTGCCTCAGTTTTACCACCAACCAAACACAACCTCAAATAATTCCCCGGAAACAAACAATTCAAAAGTTTCAACTATTGAACCAGAACCCAAACTATTATCAACCAAAGCACTGTTTCAAATATACATGTGTTTTAAGAAATGGAACAAAAATCACCAATATTGATAAAAATGAAGTTATAACTAAAAATCAATCAATGATTAATCGAAAAACGATCATCAACAACACCTGGTCCTTGTGGTGGTCATCGGAGTCGCCGGAGATCGAGCCAGAGACAGAAGCTCCGGCGGAGCGGACATTCGAGGATACGGTCTTGATACAAGAGGAAATAAACCTGAAAGAATTGGGGATAACGCCATTGATGCTATTGTTCTTGGCCAGATTTTTGTTGCTGTTTAGGTTTTTCTTCATAATCGAAGACCTCTACAGCTTTTTGTGGTCACCGGAAAGTTGCCGGAAATATCTAAACCTTCGCCTCCTCCTCCTCCTCCACCGCCTCCGCCACCGCCTCCTCCAGCCGCCGGCCGCCGACGAAGACTGACGATCAGATATAGCATTAAATCAGAATCCAAAAAAAATATCTGACACACAAATGGAGATAACACCGGCGAGATTGTGGTGTCTTTGTTGTTTGTTGTTGTTAGGTTTGACCTTAACTGAGATGGTTCCTCTCTCTCTCTCTCTCTCTCTTTCTCTCTTTCTCTCTCTACGCTCTCTCTGTTTAAACTGCTGTATGCAATTTTTTGGAAAATGTCAGAGACCTCCTATGATCTTCTTTGAAATGTCAATGACTTCCGGTGGCAATATATTTAATTTACAATTTTGTCCTCCCTAAAGATTTTATTTTTTAAAACCGGATCACTCACATTTATGTAGAATATTCCCGTCTAATTCAAAATGTATTTTTACAAAAATTTGTAATAATATATATTTTATTAATATATATACATATACATAGTTGTTGTATTTATAATAATTGCGCTCATAATGTAAAATTGTTGTATTAAGCACAAAACAATATTGAAGAATATATAACACACTTAAAAAGTTGCTACGAGATATTTGCAAAAGATTTACTTGGAAAACAATTATCACAATACACTAAAAAAAAATTCTTAAAAATAGTTCTTATATATTTTAAACCCCACTTATGTTATTCTTTGATCAATCAATTGAAATTTAAAAAATGCCCTAAAAAAAAGAATTAGGTTTAAACACTGAGTCACTGACAACTGGATCCTTAGCCGATTTAGGCATCCAAGTCCATCCTATACAATGCATTTATTAGGCCTCCAAAAAAAATTGTATTCTTTTATTTAGGTCTCTACTAATAATATAAATTAATGTGAGCACTATAATTTAATTATCCTATTTTCTTTTCATTGGATTAGGTTTTTTCATTGGATAAGTTGTATAGAAAAGTGATAAAACTTTCCATCTATTCTAGAATTTTCTCCACCTTCTTACTATTCTCTTAAACTCCTAATTTTTATTTTTTGATTTTGTTCTTATCCTTATCTCTCACTTTTTTTTCTTTTTTTTTTTATTTATTATTTAGAGATGTTTTCTTTTTTCTTTTTTCAGCACCCATATAAATTTTTTTTTTATCTTATATTCCTAGACCCAACCATTACTATATAATGTGCCGCTATAATTTATTTTCTATGTAATGGGTAATTTGTATTGAGAAGGCATAAAACTTCTCATCTACTTGTTTTTCTCAAATTTCTTACTTTTTTTTATTTTTTATTTACCTCCTAATTTTTATTTCTTATCTCTCCTTCCATCCTTACCTCTCCTCAAGAGAAACACTTTTTTTATCTTATAAAAAAAGAGATATAAAAAAAGAGCTTTTAATAAATTTGTTACAATTAATAATCACAATATTGATAAAAAAAAAAAAAATCAACAAATGAACAATTTAGTAGTGACGCACTCTAATTAGTAACTCAGCATTTCAAAAAGCAAAAAGAGTATTTTTTAAATAAAAATTATTAACTATATTAATATTTTAAATATTAAAATATCACTTTTATATATTTTGCCTAAACCCTCAAATTATGTTAAGCTGACTCGGAATTAAACAACACTACTGGTCAATGTGACATAATATTTTTTTTTTTTTTTTTTTTTTTTTTTAACCTTGTAAAGGGCATAACATTTCCATACTCTATATTAGAAAAGACTTCTTTTTTAAAAAAAATGTCTAGGTTATGGAGTTCACGAGTAGTTTCTTTTATGAAAAATAAAAAGTTAACTTGGTGATCTTCGTATTTTTTATTATGTGCAATTATTAGCAACCCACACATATCTAATTCATACTCTTTTTTTTTTTTTAACCACGTGATAGTTGAATTCAGAATGTTTGGAATTATATTCGTGTTTTAAACAGATGGATCGGAAACTAAACTATGTGGGAAGGGGTTTATGGTGTTATTTTGAAAAGAATAGGGGAGGTATTTGATATTATCCGAAAGATGTAATGTGATAGAAAACAGTTGAAGAATACTCTTTACGTCACGACATTGGATTAGAATATCTTAAAAAAGAGATGCTGAAGCTATGAAAGAATTCACGGCTAGCTAGCTTATATTGCACATAATGATTGATCATATAGCGTGTTGCCAAACACGTCACAATCGAGAGAGAGAGAATGCTAACTTAACGGGGCTTGTCACGCCTCTCTTAAGACACTCACCTTACGTGTCGTATTTTGTTGATTTCCATCAATTTCTAAAGCCAATTATACCACAACACGTCATCATAAAGGTTGTGTTTAGAACCCGCTCTCTGCTCCACCTAAGGTTCCAGACGGATCCAAGCCATTCACTTTTTTTAAACCACTTTTTTATTTATTACATTTATTTATTTTCATTTTCGTTTTTTCATCAAGTAACTCTCTTGTGGGAAAGACTTGAGACTTCCATCATTGGAATTGGATGGAGAGGAGATACTATTTACCACTAAATTATTTGTTAATTATATGCATAATTTTTTTTTTTTTTTGGGTATTTTAAAAATAAAAAAATAAATAATTACCTTTGAGGTATATATAAGGGTTTTGATTCTCTCCTCTAAACTCATTCATGCATCACTTAGTGCAAAATAAAGCTATTAGAATATGTCAAAGTAGGAAGGTGTTAAATGTAGGTGACTTTACCCAAGCAAAAATACTATTTCCTTATTTCAATGTCATTTTTAATATTAAAAAACTAAAGTTAAAGACTTTGAATCTGTTTGGTACGCGTTTTTATGTTTTTGTTTTAACCGAAACAAAATAAATGTTTTGAATGGTAATTGAAAACATGTTTGGCAACGTCCATTCGTTACAAGAATTTTGAAAGTAAAAATATGAAAACATGAAACATTTCATGTTTTGTAAAATAATGTTGTTGGTTTGAAAAATATAATGGTTAGTTTAAAAATGTTAGTTAGAATTTTTTTTTTTTTAATTTTATTTTATTATCCATTGCTAAGTATTCGTTGTTACCGTGCTAAAACATGTAAAATTACCAAATTGGTGTACGTTTCGATTTTTTGTCACTATTCACAAAACGTTTTCGACAATATCTAAAATAAAATAAATAATTCAAAAATTTTGTGTAAATCTATTATGGCACATGGATTTACACAAAGAAATATACACAAAAATTTTGAATTATTTATTTTTAATTCCAGCGATTGTTTTATACATTTTGTGTAAAAATATATCCCTTATAACAACCCACTAGTGTCATACCTGAACCCCACATAATTTTTACAAACTTACTTAATATAGGGTTGATTTGAAATACACAACAATTTTACATATTAGTGACGTGGCAGTTTATCTTAACAAACTACTATAGATAAAAAAAAAATTACACATCATACGTTTGACAGTGTATATTTTACACAAAAGAGTGTTTTAACATAATTCTGAAGATGCTTTAGTGTTAAAATACACAAATGTGTAAAATTGTTGTATATTTTACACAACCTTTTTATATATCAACATCATCGTATTTCCTTTCTTCTCTCTCTTTCTCATTCTATTAACGAATTAACCCTATATTAAGTAAGTTTATAAAAATTATATGAGGACACGTAGTTGATTGTTATTGGCGGATACAATCTTTACACAGAAGGCATAATATAATGGCTCGAGTTAAAGAAAAGTAGTCCAAAATTTTTGTGTAAATCTACCATGATATATAAAATTTACACAAATATATATATATACACACACACACACACACACAAGAGATGCTCTATCCAACAGTCTGTTAAAATATTATTTTGTGTAAAAATATACACTGTCATGTATGATGTGTAATTTTTTTTTTTTTTATCTCCAGGCATCTGTTAAGATACATTGTCACATTACCAATGTATAAAATTGTTGTATATTTTATATAACCTTTTTACATAGTCACATCAACATATTTCCTTTCTCCCCTCTCTTTCTCATTACATTAATAAATCAATCTCATATTAAGTAAGTTTGTAAAAATTATATGGGATCCAAGCATAACACTAGTTGGTAGTTACTGGGACATATATTTTTACACAAAATATATAAAACAACTGTTAGAGTTAAAAATAAGTAATCTAAATTTTTTATGTAAATCTAAAAAATGGTATAATAGTGTGACAGAAAAACTCTGTTTAAGCCAAAGTGGGTTAAAAAAACCATCTTTTGTGGAAAACACATCACTTTCATTTTGCACCATTGGACAACTTTACTCCTGCACTTCTAATTTTACAACATGCCCTATAGACTCACTAAAAAATTTAATAAGAATAAATTGAAGCAACATCAATTGTGAAGAATAATATAAGAATATTAACGCTTCAAAGTATAGGATTTCACTTGTCGATGGAAGACCAATCTAATTATATTCTGATCATAAACTGAGTCAAAGACACTTTAATTAAATTTGTTGTCAAATTAAAAGCACAACTTGCCAAAAACACATAAAGTGGAGTTTTTCACATGTCGTAAAAAAAAAAGGGATAATTACACTTACCTCTCCTGAAGTTAGGCGTAATTACATGCAATACCTTCAACGTTTCAAAAATATCAGTTACCTCCCTTCAATGTGATAGCAGGTAGGTTGCGTTAGAAATCTATGTAAATGTACTAATATACCCCCATTATTATATTAATATTAATAACTGATTATTAAATTACTCTTTTACCCTAACAACTTCTTTTATTTGGAATTATTATTATTTTTTTGGAGCCTTAAATCTGGAGAGCCACCATCTTCACCACCATCGTAACGGCCATAGCCACCGCCTCCGCCATTCCTAACTCCACCACAACCACCACCATAGCTCGAGTCCTAGGCTTCATAAGCCGTACAACGATTTCTAACGTACAGGTGAATGATGTCAGATCCATCATCGAGCGACCCAGTGTAGAGACTTGCAATCTGGGCCCATATCAAGCAGAGAATCGACTCGTTGGCGGCGATCGGAGTAGCGGCTTTGACGAATCTGTTTCCGGCAAACTGGAAGAGGAACCCCCTGCAACGGCGAGCTAAGGATGAGGCGCGGTGCTTGGCGGGTTGGCTGTGAGCCGTGGCTGTGATGGCAGCTGGCACAATTGATCAGAATTTCCCAGCTGATGTGGTTCTCGGGAACGGACAGAAACTTGCCGGTGTGTCACTCTACGCCGAAGAGCCTCTAAATGGGAAAATGTATCCTCGAGAAATGGCTTTTATGTGATTTTCAGCGCCGAAAAATTGTGACGTCTGTCTGGGGCTATGGCGGCGACGACGGCGTCAATTCCGATGAGAATGATAAAAGTGTAGCAACCCGGGACGGAGGTGGTGAAATCAGAGCCGTCGGAGAGCAACGATCGAAGCAGTGGTGATTGTTGGAATGCCGGTGAGACAGACTTGGGACGATTCGCGGCTGCTCACGGTACCGGCTATAACAAGAAGACGGCTGTGATGTCCGGCAACAGCGAGACTGAGTTCGACAAATCCGGCGAAGACTAGATGGATGGGTCGGCAGATCTTCGGAAGGTCGCAGAGAGGGAGAGAGAATGTTTTCTGCTCCTTCGGAGTCCATGGGTACTGATTCAACCCATATGGCGGTGAGGTCGCCGATGATTGGCTCAATCAGGGGTTGCGCTCGCGCTGGAATTCTAATTTCAAGGAGGAACTCCAGCGAAGGATTATTATGTATGCCTCAGTACCTCTGTCAAGCCATCGCTAACGCCAATCAATCAAATACATCAATGCCAGTGATCGCCACTACCCCCTATCGCCGCCGCCACTCTGCCTTCCTAAGCTCCTTAGTCTCCATGGTCATGTTTTTTGAACCCTTGAGGCTCTGTAATAATAAGTTTTAGAGAGAGAAAATGTATACACAGAAGAATCAAATGTGATATTTGATAGTGTACGAGGGTATAAATGTCTTTGCAATTATAATAAGGGTAAATATGGTACTTCATGTTCAAAATTTGCTGACATCATCAAAAAAATTTATTGATCGGCATTGACTATCACCGGAAGGGGCTAAGTGTTACGACCGAGCAAACCTTGAGGGAGGACGGTGTAATTTTTGAAACGTTGAGAGTACTGCCTGTAATTACGTCTAACCTCAAGGGAGGTAAGTGTAATTATCCCAAAAAAAATTTATATATATATCAAATGGCATTCAATTGAAATGAAAGTGTAAGGGTGAATAATTATCTCTTCACGTTCTCCAACACACCGACACACACGTGTATAATATATATATATATATATATATATATATATATATATATTAAAGGGTAATTTTTATTTGGACCTAAGGTTTGTCTATACATCATATAGATCTCCTCAAATATGCATAATTTCAATTAAGTTCCTTACTTTTTCTAACACACGTCATATTCCCCTTATGCAACGGTCAAAGATGTTTTGTGCTGACTTTATCAAAAAGTAAGCCATAATGCCAAGACTACCCTTCTCATTCCCCCAATTTCTTTAACAATTTAACTCCAATTTCCATCCACTTTGAGTTTATTCACTCCAAACACAATATTATTTATTAAAATTGCAGTTTATTTCATAATTTCATAAAATTAGAAATTTAAATCATTTCAATTCCCAACCTTTGTAAAATTTAATTTCAAATAAATTTAATTTCCGAAAATAAAAAAGTAGTGAACATTACCAATTTAAACCTTTCCTTAGTTGATCCGAATTTCATAAGATAAATTTTAATCCTTTCAAATTCCAACCCTTGTAAAATTCAATTTACAAAAAAAAAAGAAAAAAAAAATTAATTTTAAAAAAATTAGTGACTAATTTAAACATGTCCTTAGTCAATAAAAAATTGATAAAATCAGAAATTTAAATCCTTTCAATTCCTAACCTTTGTAAACTTTAATTCCCAAAAATAAAAAATTAATGACTAATTTAAACCTTTCCGCAGTCATTCTAATATGATAAAATCATAAATTTAAATCCTTTCAATTCCTATTCTTTGTAAAATTTAATTCCCAAAATAAATTTAATTTCCGAAAATAAAAAATTAGTTACTAATTTAAACCTTTCATCAGTGGATCCTAATTTGATAAAATCATAAATTTAAATCATTTCAATTCCTAAGCTTTGTAAACTTTAATCCCAAAATTAATATAATTTTCAAAAATAAAAAATTAGTGACTAGTTAAACCTTTCCCTAGTGGAACCTAATGTGATAAAATCAGACCCTTTCAAATCCTAATCTTTGTAAAATTTAATTTCAGAAATAAAAAATTAGTGACAAATCTAATTTCCAAACCTTTACGTTGTGATCAATGTGAGAAGCTGGAGTGTTTGTTCTTGAATGAAATAAAAATGAGGGTAGATTGGTTATTTTGTTCTCTCGACAAAACTGATAAGGGGTCTGACTGAAATTATGCAAATTTAAGAGGATCTCATTGATGTATAAACATACCTCATGGTCTAAATGAAGAATACCCTATATTAAATATTGGTGTATTACATATAATTGTTATTATATATTAAATGTAAAGATTTTCTTTTTTGTGTGTATTTAATGTTCAAGTATTAAACCTAGATATGCATTATCAATGTTTAATTATGGTATTTGGATAAGGATGAATCCTAATCCTTTTCTTTTCTTTGTTGTTGAGTGGTATAGCAGATCGATGAGAGGTGTTGAGTGGGACTCAAAGCTATCATGGCAAGATGTCTCTTCCTTGTACATTTTCATGATATTGTTTAAAACTTTTTCAAATTAGAGGCAAAAGTGTAAATTTCTTACAACATAATGAATTCGTTTTTTCTTTTCTAATCTGGCAAGAAAGTGGTACCACTCAATTTTTTGTTTGAAGTAGACGTAGATTTTTTATGATAATTATATTATTTTAGACAATTTAAAAACTTTTTATTTTTTATATATACAATTTTATCCCTAGTGTTAAAAGAATATACAAATATTATGAAAACCAATTTGAGTTGTATGAAAACTGGAACTTGCTAGTATTGTTGTTATCGTACCTTTTCCTTTTAGAAACCTATATATATTATAAATTCTTATCCTTCCTTTTAAGAAACCTATGCATTATAAATTTAAGTTATATTAGAAGTTTAGTTTAGTAGGAGTTCAGTTCCATAATCATCCAATTTTTTTTTTTTTTATTTATCCACAAAATCTATATTTATATTATTTCTTATCCATATATCAGCATCTTTTTTTAGATCAACTTCTTAAATCGGGTAATTATTACTTTTGATTAGAGTTGCATTGGAAATTTTTTGAATTTCACTCTTAGGTTAACTTTAGTTAAAACTAAACTCCTAAAATTAGTATATTCATGAAAAAAATGAAGCTTTTATTAGTAAAAATAAACTTCTATTTTGAATCTTATACAATTTGCATTTTATAAATATGAGTGTTGATGTTCTATTTTTTTCCTTTGGTAAGCAAGAATTCATATTATATAGAACCAAAACAAAATATACGGAGGATAAGAATTCTATTAGTAAATTCAGTAGTAAAAGTGCTTTAAGCAACATTGTTACCAAACAAATTTAAAAATATTATAAATATAAAAAACGCTTTATAAAATACATCACCAAACACATAAAAACGTTTTCATAATTTTAACAGCAATTCCAAACGGCACATATTTAAACTAAAAAGGGCAAATTTATAATTTTATAAAGGGTCAATACATTAATTACATGTTTCCTTAAAAATTTCAAATTTTAAACATGACATCTAATATTGGAAGAGAAGTGGGCGTAGAACAAAAAAACTGATATATTTGTTTTCTTAAAGTGTTTGTAGCCGTTCGTTGTACTACAGGATTGTTGCAACTGTTTTAAATAGAGAGAGTAGTATTTTTCAATATTACAAAGGCTAATTAAAAAATAAAATATTGTTATTAGGGTTAGACTATAAAAATTACAATATAAAATTTTCATAACCTTAATGGATGACCCCAATCACTAACTTAATGGTACATTCCCACCATGAAAAGTAAAAGATCCAGGGTTCAAGTCTGTTAGTTAGCGTGTTTTTAACTGAGATTGAAAATAATACTAATAAAATAATGAATTGTCCCAGGTGCATTTTTATCTATCCACGTTCGAATTTAAATTGGCAACAATTTGAGAATTATCCCAATACAACTCATGGTCCGAAAATAGTGGAATTTTCTATTAATATGTGTCAATACTACAATGAAAACCATCATCAACCCATAAATTGCGGTTAATTCGGATTTGATAAAAATAGAACACCCTCTTGTTGGAGTTTATCCACTAATCATCTCCCCCTTTTCTTCCATTTATACATTTTGATATTGGTCATATATCTATATATGATTACATTACACTAAGCTTCTCCATTTTTGCCTCTTCTTACATTTTGATATTTAGATATATCTAATGTATATAGATATATCTACATATATCTAATATATATAAATACAAACCATAGGTAAAAAGCGCCATTTTTTCTTTGTTGCTGCAATTGTGTTCAAAGAATTCAAGGGCATTGAATAAAGTGAGCAACCTCTTACATGGTTCATGGGTTTTTTAATTTTTCAAAGTCATTCTATTTTTCTTCAACTTTATTTTTTATTTTTTATATAGCTTTTAAGCTAATTAATTTTTTGTGGGTTTTTATTTTATTTTATTTAATTGCTGTTAGATATGGACCCCAACAGAGATGTAGAGAAGGTTGGTGAGAAGCATGAGGAATTATCACAACCCCTCATTGGGCAAAAGACAGAAGGAAAAGAATTGCAGCTATGGTTTGTTCTTCTCAGCACATTTGTGGCTGTTTGTGGTTCTTTCTCGTTTGGGAATTGTGTAAGGAACAAATCATTTAAGCTTCATGTCCTTAAAACAAATGTCATTAGTCATTTGAGTTTTGATTAGGAAAAAGTCATGTGATCATAAAAAATTGTTGTTGATAAATGGGCTCCATTTTCTTATATTTTACCTTTATTGCGAAATGACATAATTGCCCTTATTTAAATTCATTAAATTCAATGTAAGGGGGCATTTTTGTCACTTAATTTAAGGAAGAAAAAAAACCACTCCCAATTGTCAACAAATGGTTTACTTTTTTTACTTTAACCCTGACTTTATACTTTGAAAACTATAGTGTACCATTGATAAATTTGTTTGAATTAGCTGATGGGACTTCTAATGGTTTTTTTTTTTTTTTTTTAATGGGATTTTGTTTGCAATGTCTAGTGATGGGTGATTAGGTTGTTTTACTCATTTTTGGTCATGTTATAGTCTAAAAATACTTCATTTCTGAAACATACCACGCATTATATTTTTACCCATATACATAACAATACTATATCAATTTTTTTTTTTTTTTTTTCCCTGCATTATATCAATTAATACATGTGAGTTTGTATATATATATATTTTTATCTTAATAAGTTCAATATGGGCTTTGCAGGTTGGATACTCGTCACCTGTGCAGTACGCTTTAATGGATGAACTTCAACTATCATATTCTCAGGTTTTTCTATCACTTCAATAAATTTTAACTTCAATTTTAATTTGTTTACCATCCAAATATTAGTTTTTGATGAGAAACACTATCATCGTTAATTGCAGTACTCTGTTTTTGGATCCATATTGAATATCGGTGCAATGCTGGGTGCAATCACATGTGGTCGGACTGCAGATATTTTAGGTCGAAAAGGGGTAAGTTTACTGTGCAAATTTATTACAGGAAATTATTTTTCAAAATGAAAAACTAAACCATGCGGGACTTACATGAAAATTACTATGAGTTATATGATATACATATCTATATAAATAGTGTTGTTTACGAGGTTTTTAAACTTGTAAGAACAGTTTTTGAGGTGGATACCAAGGCGCTCCACCTGCTATGCTACAAGTGGTATCAAAACAGGTCAAGTCCTTGATCGGGATGTCACACGATTTAGACAGAGTGTGGGGTCGACCACAATATTACCATTTAAATATTAATTAATGTAACAACACAAATCTCTCCCTAATGAAAGAGTGAGTTTTTCACAAAAATGATTTGCATTTCTTCTGTTGTGTGCAAGCAGGCAATGAAGCTGTCAGCCATTATCTGCATCATAGGGTGGATTGGAATCTATCATGCTTCGGTAAGTGATATCTTCATTCATTCAACAATATTATCTATATATATATATATATATATATATATATATATATATTAACTATAAGAACAACATTGTCTAATACTCTGCATGTGGCATTCTCTGAAGGAACCTGTTTTGCTAGACTTTGCAAGATTTTTAACAGGCTATGCTGCAGGAACTATTTCGTATGTGGTATGCATTTGTTTCTCTCTGTTGCTTCTCTTTCTTTTAGATAAACTACTATAAGATATGCATTATATATGCATACAATAACATATTCATTCTCAAGCAATTCTCTCTTTTTCTCCGTGTGGTTGACTAGGTGCCTATGTTTATCGGTGAGATAAGTCCGGTTAGCATTCGAGGAGGACTAGCAGCATCAAATCAGGTTGAATAAAGATTGTATTTAAGTCATTTTGTACAAATTCTTAAAATCACTCTCTCGATTTTTCTTTTTTGGAGTATTAGATATGTGAACTTTGGAGCCATTAACTTGAAAAGGATTAAATTCACAAAACCCCAATTTTTGATAGTCCAAAATTTATAGAGTACGTTTTGTGAATTTAACACTACTTAAAATTACCTAGGAACATGTTGTCAATAACTGTAAAGAAGTTGAATTTTAAAGCCATACCTTTCGTGAATTTGTATGGAAAACAACCTAAACATGCAAAAGATTAATTGGTTATTAGTTAATTTTTCTTTATCATTGTCTGCTGCAGTTTACTAACTACCTACTTATATGCTTCGCAGCTCTTTATTGTTATCGGCTTGTCCGCCTCCTATGTAGTAGGTGTATTTGTAACATGGAGGACACTTGCTATAACTGGTACAATCAAATATTCTTGGCTGATGCACTGATAGCAAGTCATTTGAAATCTATATGTTATCAAAATTCTAAAAGCATTAAAAGAACCAGTTAAATGAAATTTAATAATTGGTAACACATTTTTTTTGCATTTTTTTTGCATTTTTTTTTTTTTTTTTGCAGGAGTTATCCCATGTGTGGTTCTGCTTGTGGGGCTCTTTTTCATTCCAGAGTCCCCGAGATGGCTGGTAAGATTGTCTGCATTTCAAAAATCTTGACGATTTTTTTTTTCTTCTCTGAATTTTGATCCTTTTGATCCTCTAATAACTTGAATTTGGGCGAAACTTATGAATTTTGGGTTACCATAGTTCATGACCATGCCGGGGGAAGATTTTACATTAAGTACCTCATTTCACCTCCTTAAGCGACTAGAATATGAAGATGGTACTGATAAAATCTAACCACATTCTGTGCTGCAGGCAATGGTTGGCCAAGAGGAAGAGTCTGAAGCTGCATTAAGAAAGCTTCGAGGACCAGATGCTGACATTTCTCATGAAATGGCTCAAATACGAGTATATCATCTTCTTGATTCGTCAATATCATTTAAACCTTCCCTTTATCTTATTTCAAATTCGGAATTCAATTTTGTTGAGATCCTCCTTTATTCTTGTTAGCTTTTTTGGAATGCACTAGACCATAAGAACGCGTTTAAACCCCTCTAGCCCCTCTCTCTTTTATTTATCTATGGTTTGGTAAAAAGGGATTTTTTTTTTTTTTTTTTTCAATTACATTTCTCATCTTCTAGTTTAGTTTCTTAGTTTCAGTATGCTTAGATAAGAGAAAAAGTGTAAAGAGGTTATAACTCATCTTTTGTTATTAAACAGGAGTACTTAGAGACTCTTGGAACACTCCCAAAAGTTTCAATAATAAACATGTTCGACAAAAGTAATATCCGTCCAGTTATTGTAAGCATCATATCTCTCTCTCTCTCTCTCTCTCTCTCTCTCTCTCTCTCTGATTCTTCTTTGTTGGTTAATTTGTTCTTTAATGCTAACGTTTCCTCCTTCCATTCACTTGATCAATAGGTCGCGGTTGGATTGATGGCGTTTCAACAGTTTGTGGGAATCAATGGAATAGTGTTCTATGCTAACAAAATTTTTGTATCAGCAGGTGAATTCACATTGATTAAGCTCATTTATCAATGTTGATCAAGCTTTGTTACTGAAACTCCCTATGCTAATTGTTATCGGTTCTTTGGTATCAGGTTTCAACCCCAATATCGGAAGTATTACCTATTCTTGTCTACAGGTTTCACTTTGCCATCTCCACCTCTGTTGAGTGTGTGTTGTGTGTGTGTGTGTGTGTGTGTGTGTTTAAGTTATAAAAATGATTTTATTCCCTTTCCCAGGTGGTTGTAACCGCGTTTGGTGCAAGCATAATTGATAGTGCAGGAAGAAGACCAGTTTTATTGGTACATTGTTCGAAATTATCCATCTTTTGAATTCCCATTTAACCCTCTTAAGAAAGATTGAAAAATTAAATATAATGGAAAGAGATTTTATTTTTTTGATGAAAAATAAGTTCTTGATGTCCCATTTCAGGCATCTGCATCTGGGATGCTCGTTGGCAGTCTAATAATTGCGACGTCCTTCCTATTTAAGGTAGACATCAATCAAGCTTGCATATTAGAAACTTTGTTTGTCTTTGATTTCTTCAGTTTCTCATAACGCGGCGTTTGATGTTTGTTGACAGACTCATCAATTGGCAACTGATTTGGTTCCGATTGCAGCAGTCATCGGTGTTATGGTAAAATGAACTGTCCTTTTCATATTTAAACTCAACAATGGTCACTTGACTTTTGTCACTGGATTGATATGCTAACACCACCAGAACAAAACTTCCAATTTTGGCAAATAGTTCGTTTTAAACTGCTGCATTTGTTTGATTCTTGGAAATACTGCTCAAAATCTTACCTCATCCATATGCTTAATACATTAATATTATGTTCATAAATAATGTAATCTGCACAATGAGAAAAAGAAGGTTCCATCTAATATCACAAACATTAGTTTTTCTTATCCAATACCATCATGACACAGACACTGTCCCTGGTTTTATGTTCTATTTAATGTACACAACTTTTTTTGAGAAGAGAAAAAAAAAAACCGACCTTATACTTTGGAAGGTGAAGAAGTACTACTAAGCTAGTGTGCACAGCTTTCTTATGTGTTTCATACTTTCAGGTTTATATAGGCTCCTTTTCAGTTGGAATGGGTGCAGGACCCTGGCTTATTATGAGTGAGGTAAAGTCGAGATTGTGAAAAATAACCCTTTTTCCTTTTTTACCGGAAAGTTCAAGCAAATGCACACACTCACAATATTGCTCCTAGCAAAGCTTGAACTCTCAACCTCCCCTTTGGTCTTCGATGCAGGTGTTCCCTCTGCACGTGAAGGGAATGGGCGGAGGCATGGTAACATTGATGAACTGGTTTGGTGCTTGGGCTGTTTCTTTCTCCTTCAACTTTCTCATGCTATGGAGCTCATATGGTAAGCTCTCTTTAATTTTAAGATACTAGTATCGCGATTTAAAAACATTCAAAATTTTCTTAACAAACTTAGAGAAATTTGGGACTTTTTTGTGTCAGACCATTACTGCTATTTCATGTAACAACAAAAATTTCTGAACTAGAATTAAATGAATATCGTCAACGAATTTGTTTGATTATATAAATTTGTTTTTGTTTTGTTTGTTTTGTGGTTGTTCAGGTACATTTTACATTGATGCCTTTGTTTGTGCACTCGCTATCCTTTTCATCTACAAGTTGGTTCCTGAAACAAAAGGTCGAAGTCTGGAAGAAATTCATGCATCCATGAATTCATAGAAACGTAGAAGGGGTGGGTTGAGTCATTTTGTTCTGTGAACTTGCCATTGTAGTATTGTGTACATGTTAAAGTTGGTGGTCCCTGGAACAGAAGGCCATATCCTTTCTTCCATGTGAAATGACCCTCTTGTACATGGGTTCTTGTGTTGGTGGAATACTCTGCAGAACTATTGTGTTCCAAAACCAAAGCAGTACAACTACCTGTTTGTTTCTGAAGAAATCATTTTCCCGCGGAGAAATTATTTGACAGCCTCATGTTCACAAATTAAAATTTCTTTCATTTTCTTCCCCCAGTTATTTATTTTTTATTATTATTTTTTTTTCTTGAAAAGTTCAAGCAAACACACGTGCTCATTACTTATATTTTTGCCCTCACCGAGGTTCGAATACTCAAACCTCTCTAAAGAGGAGGAGAGAGCTTTTATCATTTAGAATAGAACCCATTGATCCATTGCTATGTTGTTAAAATTGCGTTACGTCTCTCCTTTATCATTTATGTACGCTTATTTCTTAATAAGTCATTTACATACCGAGACATTTTTTGGGTTGGACTTGACTATATCATTAATTTATTGATGTTTAGCTTTTGATTATGTGATAAATTACTTAAAACCCTTTTGAAATTACTATTAATTTGAAGTTATAAATTTTTTAATTTGATCACCTCTCCCTCCTACCTATAAATATCCTAGCTCATTAAAAAAGGCAACTCCTAGAATAAATTAGTGGATTTTTGTTGGTTCAAGAATCTTAGCATGAATTCTGATGAGTGTTTAAATATACATGCTAATATACCCCTTTTTACATTGAGAATTATTTTTCAAAAGTTAGGTACAGAACCACTTTCCTTTACTTGACTCTTGAGTATAACTTATGTTCGACTTAGCTACTATTACTTTTCGGTCATTCGGTACAGCCTTTGAAATATTTGTTTATTTATTTATTTTTTTAAATATTCGTTAGGTTCAAGTACTTTTGTGCACATCACCATGAAATGATGCACTTAAAAGTAAAGGGCATATTAAGTAATTCAAAATAATTCATAATGTTTTTTCATGTTTACCAAATTCACCTATTTAAAATTTACTTCATTCTAAGTTTTAAATTAATCCAATAAAATGAGAATAACAATTTTATTTCATTCCATTCTCATTATAATCACGCTTATATGAGAGATGAAATCCACTTTGATCAATGCCCCATAATATTAGTAATCAAATAAAAGATATTTTTATATATTATTTACACCAAAGACTTCAAAGAATGACAAATCTTTTGAATAAATAGGCGTGTTGTGGGTCCATCGTCTTCATTACACCATTCTTTCTTTCTTTCTTTCTTCAGTTTCATCTTCATCTTCATGTCTATTCTTTTTTTCCTCCTAACATAAACAAATCTTATGTATCCTTTCTTTCTTCTTCTTTTTCCCATGTTACACATAGCCTAATTAAGTACTGGTCATGAAAAGCATCACATGAGTTTATTCTAACAGTTTTTTATGGCTTGAGGGAAGCTTTTGAAATAGTAATCTAGAAAAGGAAAAAGTTTTTTAGAGATTTTTTTTTTTTTTACCATTTTTGCCTTTAAAATAAGGAGGCAAAAGTGTAAAAAAAAAATCTGAAATTTCACCAAGCGAGTACAATACCTCCTATAGTATAAAAGTGAGCAAGTGTATAGTTTCAAAAGTGAATAATTTGTCGGCTTCCAGCCACTTTCTTTTTATGTTGTAATACACGTGATTGTTACTTTTTATTAATTCCAAAAGTATCCTCCCATATGACCGATATATCCCATTTTCCTATAAAAAGACTTTTGATTGCATCAGCTCTGTATGTTCTCCCTCCAAGGTTGGTTCATTTAAACATTTTATATATATATTTATGTTCACGTGTATTTCTTTCATTTCTGTCTTTTCTAAGCTGCTAGAAAAGTTTTGGGAGCTAGACTTTATGATTATATCAAATTGTCTATAATGTAATACTATATAACTAAAGATATAACACAACCATAAAATGTACGTAGTCAAAGCCTCTCTTACATATGATTTGAAGTGTGGGATTGTAAATCCCTTTTTGGCCTCAAAGCCTTTCTCATTCTTCACATTAAAATAATTTTCAAGGATTTCATTTGCTTGAAACTTCAATAAGTTGCTAGTTAGTTTTGTGTTCTGAATAATTTTTCATCTTTTCGCTCCCTACTAAATTAGGCCATGAATATATATGAGGAAGTGTTATAAAAAAATAATAATAATAAAACACAGATGAGGAAAAAGTTAATGAACACGTGTTGTCCAATTCTGTAGAAAAAAAAGAATATGAAATCCATTGGACCCAAGTTCACATAAACCAAGCAGAGGCCCACGTGAGAAGTAACAACACCTAAGTCAATTTCGAGTCATGTAATACCTCTGTTTTATATAGAGGGCATTTAAAATATTTTGTTTTTTAGTTATAGGGGTAGTATGGTAAATACACAATGACATCAGTTAGAAAATGATAGGAGGTGAAATGTAAGGAGTCAAGTTACTCTCTTTTCGAATGTTAGAAATTAGCTTATTCACTTTTATACCACAAAAAAATATTTAGTTCACTTGGTAAAACTTAAGGGTAATAATCTCATAATTGAGGGATCCAAACCCACCTACTCTTAAGCTAGAGTTTTTTATTTCTAAATATTAGACTCTGATTGAGAGTTGATTGTGGGGAGTGGTCCATTTATAGGAGTAGTTGTGTAACACATGGCTTGTCCACAGGGACAATACTTTTTTAATATATATAACGTACGGATATAATTTAATAATACAAGCCATATATAATAAATTAATGCACGTCCGTCAGTGCATGTTCACTGTACACATTTTTTTGCCTTTACGTTATTTATTTATTTATAAATATATGTGTTAAATTTGTTAAGATTTTTACTTGCGTCGATTAGTATAAATTTAACAAATTATATACAAGTAAATATGATAAAATATGATTCAATTTGCACGTTAAAAATAACCCTTGAATACATTAATACCACCTTCACATAAACGCATCATTGACCGAGTCACAAAGTTTTTACCATAGGTAAAGGAATATAGTGGAGTATATATATATATGTTTGTGCTAATAATGATAATATACAAACTCATTAATCCAAACTAGTTCAAACCGCACTCAATGGTAATTATTGAACATTAGAATATATATTTCTGGGTCATACATTTCAAAACCTAGCTATTACCAAACATTCTACTCTGACAGTCTCACTGAAAACAAACTCTCTATAGATGTGTGTATGTATATATATATATATATAGTTCTATCAGTTATGATTTTTTTTTCTTGTGTCTCTATAGATATGGAAAACAAGGAAGTAAGGAAAGCTCTGCTTGAAGGGGATGAAGAAACAGCTAATGGAAATGGAGTTGATGATGGCAATGAGATCAGCTCAGTCACGCTCTCTCTTGTGTTCAGTACCTTGGTTGCTATCTCTGGCTCCTTTGGTTTTGGGACTGCTGTGAGTAATTTTTTTTTCATTTCATTTAAAGAATAGTTATTTTTTTTTATTTTTAATTTTAAATAACTGATCATCCAATACTAATTTTCGAAACATCGTGCAAAGCAATAGTTAGTTTAGCTCCTCCTTAGTTTTGTTTGTGGGACAAAATTTTGAACCTTCAACTCTCTCAGAAATGATCTGTGCCAGGGAATGAAAAGGAATGGTTATAGAGATATTAGATTTATGACTATGAATAGAGGAAGAAGCTCATACCATAATAGTAGCATGAATAAGAGCTGAAATAGGACTACACCCTTCCATAACATCGGTGATGGATGGTGTATAACCTGATAGATATGGTACATTTTCGGTTGGAATTTTTTGAAAAATATTTTAATAATTTTTACACTTGTTATGCTGATATAATGAGAAATTATTTATTTATTATAAATTCTCTGTGGTGTCTCATCTCTTAAGGTTGCCATAATTTAAAAAAATTCGAGTAAAAAATCTGTATAAGGCGATTAAGGGAATTGTGCAGATTTAGCACACCCAGTGATAAATAATAAAATCAGTCTCATTTTTAGAAAATTATTGACTATTTTGAATAAATTCTGAAATTACTTGTTATTCAATATAAACTTAAAATTTCTAATAATAAACAAAACTTACAAAAAAAAAACTTTTGGCGGAAATCGACAGCTGAAAAAAAATGTTAGTGAAATAGAGAAAGACCAAAATATCCTCTCAACACACTTAGGAATCCTTTGTAATACACCGCCGCCACCATCATAGGCTCCCGCCGCCGTCACCTTTGTTTCCATCAACCACCACCACATCTCGCTCGCTCACACACGTAATCTCTCTATCTGGCACGCACACGCAGAGAAACTCTCTCTCTGCCCAACCAAAAGCTCCAATCTTTGAGATTTTGTGAACCTTTGATGGGAAGCTAGGGTTTATCGGTTGATTCGTCGATTAAGGCGAAGCCAAGTCTCATTGGTTCGATGGAAAGCATGGTGGCAGAAGGTTCAAGTCAGAGAATATTTCTGATGGTGGCCGTGGAGGTGGTCGCCGCGGGGGGCAATGGTGGCGCTGGGACGACGAACTTCCCGTGGAGCAGCATGCGGTCTTCCAGGTTGCTAGTTCCGCGTTGCAAATTAAGAATTGGACAATATGCCCTATGTTCTACCTGAGTGTATATACAAATGATTGTAGGGGAAAACCATTACTTTCCAAGTCCAAAAACCACCATCGCCACTGCCACTGCCACTGCCACGGCCTTCTACTGTCGCCTCCTCCTTCCACCACCACTACCGTCCTTACCACACCCACACCGCCACCGCCACCGCCCACTGCCTTCCACTACTTTCACCATCAATGGTAATATTATTTCATTCCTACATCATTTCATATTTATAACTAAATAATAGAATGAATTTCATTCCATTCCCAATTCGTTCCATTCTCATTTCATTTTATTTTTGCCCGCCAAAGTGATATTTACTCAAACTTTCAAAATAGAAGTCAACTTCATTAAAAACAAGAATTGTGTGTTAATCCTACTACTTATTTTCCCCATATATATTTTTTAAGTACTTATTTTTCTTTCACCAACTTAAGTTTCCCTTGCTTAACTTTCTAGCAAGGTTTTCTTTTTACTTTTTCTTTACCTTTATTTTTTTATTTTTTATTTTTATTTTTTAGATAAATATATATATATATATTTTCCTTTCATGCTCATCAGATGGACCCTTATTTTGTCTTTTTTCCATTCCCTTCACTAAATTGTGAACGTGATCCAAATACAGGCCTAAAGTGTTCTCCTTTATTTTCCTTTGATGCTAATGGTAAACATGACCAAGTAACTGTGATCAAAGTTCTTTAGCATAACACATGAATTGGAAAAGGATCTTAAGTTGCACCAATTCTTATATGATTCTTAACCGTTCAAAACTTAATTTTAAATTTCCATATATAAATTTGATAGCTAGAAATGACATGAAGGGTCAGTAACTAAAACTGAAGGAACTTGGGAGGCTGTTTAATCATCTTAGTTGACATTGAAAACTGAGGAATTTTAAGGTTCTGATAATTTAGCCAGATATGCTCAACTTTTCGCCAAACAGCCTTTTAAAATTTATCCTTAAAAATTATTGTGCTACCTAGAACTCTTCAGTATTCAATATTATCGATAATTTTTCAGTGCCAATCTATTTTTATCAAATATGCTCTTAAATGTGGTTCTTATTTAGTAAGCCTCTTTTTTAGATAAAAAAAAAATGGTTGTCATTTTATCAGATAGTATTGGCAATTTGTTGCATTGAACGCTAGCTTTGTAATCAGCTGACACTGATTTGGCATGTGACCTATGATCACTTTGTAGCTGGGATATTCATCTCCTGCTGAGTCTGGAATCATGAATGACCTGGGCCTCTCGACTGCAGAGGTAACTGTTTAGTATTAACTGCTCCTTTTTCTCTTTTTCGCCCTGTGTTCTGTTCTTCCTAGAAAGCCATGGATATAGATAATGAATGAAACTATTAATCATGTGGTTCTTCATGTTTCCTTGTTAGTTTTGCACATGATATGGCCGACCCCGTTTGTATGGGATAAAGGAAAGGATGATGATGATGATGATGAGTTTTGCACATGATCCTTGAGTTTTGTTGCATTACCCGAGTCCAGACACTTATTATTAGCTCATAACCATGATTTCTACTTTTCTAGCAAAAAAGTAATGCAAACGAACATAAATTCAGTGCAAGAAAGAATTGAACCTGCTAATGGCATGCCAAAAATTTCCTCTTCTAATAGTGAAATTCATCTCATCTCATCTTTGAGGTAGCAGCTATACGACTGAATCTTGTGAAGTCATGGTTTAATGTGATTTTATTTTTCTTTGCTTCATAATAGTTAAAAAAATGGGATTTACTCCTCCATTACTCATAGAACTGTGTTGTGGGCTTTTACCCTTCTTTTATAGATAGTAGACGATAAGTTTAACTAATTTAAATTCGTATCATGCATAGTCCTCGACAAAAAGTAGCACATATTAAATGTGTCTCTATTGAATTGTGTTATCCACAGTTCATTGATGAACATGGTTGTGACTTGGGACTGTGATAATCACTAAATGCGGTGACTGTTCACATGTAAATTGATGTAAAGTTCATAAATATAAAATGATATAATGAACAGAAAATTGATCACAATAATTCATTGCTTTAGATGTAACAAATAACTTTATACATAGCTGCGAGCAATAGATCTAGTATCTTCAGTTTGTGTCTGAAGTCACTGCTGCGTGATCAATGCAAAAGTCACATGTATTTTGTCTAGCTTTAAGCATAACTTATTCATTCTGAGTTTTTGCATTTCTTCACTTTACTGATATTTCTTGCTTATGTTCCTCATTTGCAGTATTCTGTTTTCAGTTCCATACTGACAATAGGGGGAATATTAGGTGCAGCATTAAGTGGGCGAATAGCAGATTTCTTTGGTCGGAAAGGCGTAAGTTCTTTTTTGCCTTTCACTTATCTATAGGATTATTTAATTTTCAGCAACACAATTGTGTGCCAACATCAAGCTTATATCAGTCTTGATTGAACTTTTATGACAGGCGATGTGGTTTTCAGAAATTTTCTGCCTCATGGGATGGCTTGCAATATTATTTTCTGAGGTTGCTAATCTTCTAGTTTCCCCACAATGTTTCTTTTATTTAAGTTCCGCTTTATCCAATCACCAAGGAGAACAATAAATAATAATAATAATAATAATAATAATATTGTGTTGCATACCTTCTAACATCTCTTTATAAGCTGTAGGCTCTCTATGAATCAGCTTTAGGAAGAATTAGATTTAGTATGATCTTTCATAAATTATTTGTATTGCGTGCTTTGGTTGTATGATCTGTAAGTTCGACTAGAAAAGATGTTTTAACACTGAAAATCAATTTATTAGTATTAGGTGTCTTCTTGAGATTGCTAAAATGGCAAAAATAATGTCTAGAAATTACAGTTTAAGCGAAAGTCACCTTAATATTTTCCTTCTACTATATTATTTATGTTTTCGTGGATTTGTAAAATTTGTTGAAAGGATGCTGTGTGGCTAGACATTGGAAGACTGGTATTGGGATATGGAATTGGGCTACTTTCTTATGTGGTACTTCCAGTAACTTTTTACATTTCATATTTGATTCAACTTGTCTACATAGCAGATCTCAGTATTTGCATTTTATTGCTGAACAGGTACCTGTTTATATTGTAGAAATATCACCCAAGAATCGAAGGGGAGAATTTACAGGACTTAGTCAGGTAGATATTGGTATTATTAATTTGGATGAAAGGATAAACTTTTTCCTCATGTGCTTAATTATGTATTGACAATTCTATAGTTAATGGTAGGCTGTGGCCAGTCACTCTTCTTCTTCATCGGTTTATTTGTCAACTGGCGCACCTTGGCGTTAATTGGTAACTCCTTTTTGCTTATTTGATGGATATGAAGGTAAAAGGGCTAGTCCAGTGCACGAGGCTTCCGCTGTTGCGGGGTCTGGGGAGGGTGACCTTACCTCTGAATTTGAAGAGCCTCAAAATCGAACAATCTTAGAGTTGTGCCGAGGCCCACATCATGTAATCAATAATTGTCTTCTAATTTGAATCAGTTTTCAGGAACTTTACCCTGTATGGCACAGCTTCTAGGTCTATTCTTCATTCCAGAGTCTCCGAGATGGTTGGTGAGTTGAATACAAAGTCGTGTTAAAATTGATTCTTAGGTTGTTTCTCAAGCCATTTTTAGCCAAAAACTTGTTATAACCAAATTTAGCAAATACATGGCACTAGATCAGCTTTTCTAGCACAAGCATCCACTAAGAGACTCAATTCTTAAGTGCACTCACTTGCAGGCAAAGATTGGCCGTGAGGAATACAAAGCTGTTTTACAGCGTTTTAGGGGAGAGAATACTGATATTTCTCAAGAAGCAGCTGAAATTAAAGTAATAACTACCAGTCAGGAACAAATATTTTTGATTTTTGATTTTTGATTTTTTTGGTGCATATAAATAGAAGTGTTTTCCTTTCATTTGTACAGGATTACACAGAAACACTCCAAAGATTATCAAAAGCTGCATTTATAGACTTATTTCAAAGGAAATATGCATATTCAGTCATTGTGAGCCCAACAGAAGAATCCTGAATTAATGTGCCTAGTTTTTTTTTTTACGACTTATTTAATCTCTATAAAATTCAAAAATTGGTGCAGGTAGGAGTTGGGCTAATGGTGTTTCAACAATTTGGTGGGCTGAATGGATTTGCGTTCTATGCAACCGAAATTTTAGAATTGGCTGGTAAAACTATGGCTATTAAGTGAAGGTCCTAATAATTATTGATGTAAAAAGAAGAAGATATATTTGAATCTTTGGTTTTTGGCAGATTTTAATAACGAGATTGGGAAGATGGCAGTGGCTGTTGTCCAGGTTCTTCTTTAATTTTGATGTAATTTGAATGTTGAATATATATTTAAAATTTCATGCGTAATGCAATATAAACATTGTATATATTATTTTATTCAGATTCCAACTTTTATTCTGGGTGTCCTTTTAATGGATAGATCGGGAAGAAGACCACTTCTGATGGTTAGAATGTAAAATAGCTTTCTTTTGAGTTTGTATGTAGTTGATCTAAAAGTCGGTACTAATGTATTTGTGTCTTCAGGCTTCTGCAGCTGGAACATGCTTGGGTTGCCTCCTTACCGGATTGGCATTCTTATTCCAGGTTTCTTCTAAATCAAAATTCATATACTTCACCAATGGGCGTTAGTCCAGATGGTGTGATCTCTCCTCTCCGAATGAGCGGTGTCATATCCCTGTTAGCGGCAATATTGTGGGTGTATATTAGTATATGTGTTTTCTGAAATTTTGACAATTATTATTTATTGAATGACTTGCCTCATGTAGGACCTTCAACAGTGGGAGGAGGTCACTCCCATTTTGGCATTTAGTGGTGTAATGGTAATGCACTGTGACTGAAAATCTTTCTTTACCTACTTCTCAATAAAGGATAATCTAATGGTGAGGCTCACCTCACATGTTGGACGAAGTTGGTTGAAATTTCCTTAGGGCCACCCTCGGGAAATTTTTCAGTAATTGTTATGTGGGATGAGAGATTGTTTTTGCCCGGTGGTGGACTATGGGGTGCTTTAAGAGACATGACACCACCATCGTTGAGATGGGAAAAAAAGAAAAAGAAAAATTATTTCGTTTTTGTCTCACTTTTGTCCTATAGTTGATCGATTTGACTGTGGGATTGAAGGTCTTTGGTTTTTAGCTGAGCTTTGGCTAATCAATAATTAATTAAGTCATTGGGCTGACTGATTAATATCTTGTTTAGGTGTATCTAGCATCTTTTGCATTAGGCATGGCAGGTATACCATGGATTATAACATCAGAGGTTAGTGAACATACTTTTGGCTTTCTAACTCTACATCCTCAGATGAAATTACAAAATTTTATCTTAACATTACAAAATTTTCATTTCAGATATATCCTATTACCATTAAAGGTTCAGCTGGAAGTCTTGTGACTTTGGTCTCCTGGTTTGGTTCTTGGCTTATTGCTTACACTTTCAATTTCTTATATGGATGGAGTTCAGCAGGTGATCTCTCTCTCTATATATTTGTACATGCATATATATATATATATGTATGTATCTGTGTGTGTCTTTATGTATAGTTTTGTAACATAATTTATTGTGGACAATGTTTCAGGCACATTTTTTGTATATTCATCCATTTGTGGGTGTGCTGTTCTATTCATTGCAAAATTGGTGCCAGAAACCAAGGGGCGGACACTAGAAGAAATACAAGAATCAATTACCCATACTTTTTCACTAAGAGGAATCTAGCATAGCATCTGTGAGTTTTACAACAAATATCAAATGCAAGGATACATTGGTAAATTCATATTAATAAAAAATGGAATGCATATTGATATATATATATATAAGTTTGATTATCAGTCAGTCTAATAAGATCATCAATATTTGTGAATGAGCACAGCTGATGTGATTATTCTTGTAAGGGTTAAGTGCAAAAAAAAAACCTCATAATATACAAAATGTGCAATTAATCCCTGTTGTTCGAAAAACTCTCCTACATTTTACAATTTTTTTTTTTGGCAAGTAAAGCAACTGAATATATATATGAATAGAATAATTACAAGAAGGCCTTTGGCCAGAGACCAGCCCCAATGAAGGGGAAAACAAAGCCCAAATAAGCAAGCCCAATCTAGAGAACTGATAAGCCTAACCTAGCCCAGCCCAAACAGATACAACAACAAGCATTAACGTATCAGACCGTTAATGGTGGTTCCAGTGAAGCAATGATGATGAGTTGCATCTGCAACTCAAGAAGCAAGATCAGGTGGACGAGGTGGCGGATGGCAACAAGATGGAGACAGGTTCCACTCACAGAGGATTTTCCGAGAGCTTGAACAATCATGTAGGAATCCCAGCTTCAGAATCGATTTTATGGTGTAACAAATTTTGTTTGAGACCACTCTGGTGGAAAACTTTTTTCTATTGAAGATTCTTTCGTTCCTCTCTTCCCATGTGTGATAGATCAAAGCTGAGAGATATACCTTCCGAAGAAGGTTCTGTGCTGAATTCCTCTTCCATTGTGAGGAGAGCCATCTTATTAGGTTTTCCCAATTCACATTCGGTGTAATTAGATTGCATCTGTCACGGATGAATCGCCAGATAGGGGAAACAAAAGAACACTTGAAGAAAAGATGATCATGAGATTCTTGGCTGCTGTTGCATAGAACACACATGTTGTGATGAAGTGCCATAGCTTTGGAGTCCAGGGTAGGTAATCTTGATTGCACAGCCAACCACATATTGAATTTCATGCGAGGAATTATAGGAGCCTTCCATACCACCTTGAACCAATGGACCGCTGGGGATTGACCTGTAAGAAATAAGGTGGTTTTCTTCAAGTTGTACTCACCAGAATTGGAAGCTACCCAGGAGAGCTTGTAATTTCTTGTGGAGCATAGTGGAGGCAGAGAAAGTAGCTCAGGGATTACAGTTGATAGACATTCAGGAAAGGACCAAGTAGAATTAACAATGAAGATATTGACTTTGATGTTGACATTAAATCCAGCCTCTGTGAGTGTGGATAGTGGAAACCTTGCGCATAGTGGACCACCAATGCTCCAGTTATCCCACCAAAAGAGTGTGTCATTGCCATTACCAACTCTCTGCTTGATCAACTGCCTTGCATAGTGCCTTAGCTGCAGTATTTTCCTCCAATTCCAAGAACATGATTGTGGAATATTGGTGGACCAAATATTGCTGGATTTAATTAAGTGTGTGTTGCACCATGATATCTAAAGCCTGTCCCTGTCTCTAGTTTTCAAATCCCAAATGTGGTGAAGAATGCCAGCTTTGTTAGCCAATTCAAGGTTATGGATGCCCAGACCACCACTTTCCTTTGGTGTGCAAACTTTGTCCCAAGAAACCTTAGCTCCAGATGACTTCATTTCAGGCCCTGACCATAAAAAGGATCTAAGTATCTTGTTCAATTCATTGATAACTGCCTTTGGGAGAAGGAAGATGCTGGACCAGTAAATTTGGGATGATACAAGGACAGATTTGATAAGTTCCAACCTCCCAGCATAAGAAAGGCTTCTAGAGGTCCAGTGGGATACTCTACTTGTCAATTTTTCAATGAGTAAGCTGCAATGGACAGACTTTAGGTTTGTAGATATCAATGGGACCCCAAGATACTTCACTGGAAGAGCCCCAACTCCATTACCAAGTAGCTCAGAAATTGCAGCTTCTGTGTGACAGTCCACACCAGAGCAAAAAAGGTTGCTTTTTGAAAGATTGATTTGCAGACCTGACATGGTGCAAAAATGGTCAAGGGCACACTTCAGAACTGAAACAGAAGAGATATCCCTATGGCAAAGCAGCAACAAATCATCAGCATAAGAAAGATGAGTGATCTTAAGGGCATCACATCTCCAATGATATTTAAAGGTACAGACCCTTGCCACATACTCTTTGATTATGAATGATAAAACATCAATTGCAATGATAAATAGGAAGGGTGAGATGGGGTCTCCTTGTCTCAATCCTCTCTTCATTTTGAAGTAACCTTGAATTTCCCCATTGAGGGCAATTGTGAATGAAGGAGTAGAGATACATGCCTGAATTAGGTTAATAAATTTTTCTGGAAAATTGAACAGCTTGAGGCTATTGAGGATGAAATCCCATTTAACAAAGTCAAAAGCTTTTTTCAAATCAATTTTGATGGCACACCTTGCAGGTTTTGAATCCTTGTGGTAACCCCTTAGTAACTCATGTGCTAGAAGATTAGGGTCAGTTATTTTCCTCCCTTTGATGAATGCTGCCTGTGATTGGTGTATGAAATGAGGTAGGGTAGATTGCAGCTTAAGGGCCAGTAGCTTTGCTATGCATTTGTAAACAATGTTGCAGCAAGAGATTGGCCTATAGTCATGCAATGAGGTGGGGTTTTGGCATTTGGGAACTAAGGATATATAAGTGTTGTTGATTTCAGAGAGAAGCTTGCCATTGTGGAAGAAATCAAGGATGACTTTAGTAACTGATCTTCCCACAATACCCCAAGTTTTTTGGAAGAAATTAGAGTTGTAACCATCAGGACCAGGAGCCTTATCCTTGCTTAGGCTGAACATACATGTTTGAATATCTAGTGGAGAAGGAATTTCAAGTAGGTAGCCATGTAAGTGATCAGGGATGAGGTTAGTGATGAATGGAAGTAGGTCAGTGAGAAGGTGAGTTGTTGGAGGTGGATTTCCAAGAATGTTTTGAAAATGTGAAACCACTTCTTGTTTGATGAGGTCCATATCATGTAAAACTTGACCAGAATCTGTAGTAAGTGAGATAATTTTCCTGCAATTGTTCCTTGATGCCACTGATTTATGGAAGAAAGATGAGTTACAATCATCAAGTTTGAGCCAGGTCATTCTAGACTTTTGTCTGAGCATATATTCTTGGATTCTCCCTAGCCTTAGATACTCATGTATCAGTGATTTTTCCAACTGTCTAAGATGGATATCAGATGGAGTGTGGTCAAGATCCAGTTGACAAGTTTCTAGCTCTACTGACACAACTTTAAGCTTTAAGTCCACTGCAGTAAACTCTTTTTTGCAATTGGCTCTGAGTGAATGCTTAAGGAGTTTGAGTTTCTGAACTACTTGGGACATTGAAGTTCCTCTAATGAAGGTACACCAAACATCATAAACAGTTGGCAAGAACTTAGGGTGAAAAGTCCATGCATTGAAGAATCTGAAGGGGATACACCTTTTGGGAGAATTGAGATTAATGTTGACAAGGATGGGGCTGTGATCTGAGATACCAGGAGGTAAGAGTGAGCACTTTGAGAGTGGGAAAGATGAAGTCCAGCTTGGATTAACAAGAGCTCTGTCCAATTTCTTTGTAATGCAAGCATTCCTTATACTCTTATTACACCAAGAAAAGAGGATGCCACTGAATTTGAGATCTTCAAGTTCATTTTGATGTATATTTTCTTTGAAATCAGAAATAGCTGGACACAATCTCATGGAAACACCAAAGGTCTCAGCAGTATTGTGGATAACATTAAAATCTCCCATGAGTAACCATGGAGAGAGAGAGAATAGGCCTGCCTGCATTAAGAGATCATCCCATAGAGCTTGCCTTTCAAGTGCATTGTTAGCAGCATATATAAAAGAAGAGAAGAAGTTAATGTTCAGGCCTGTGATAAATATCTTACAATGAATGGCTTGCCTACTAGATGATATAACTGACAAATCAATGGTAGATGGATTCCATAGGATCCAAATTCTACCAAAATCTGAGTGAGAATAATTGTGAGTGATAGACCATGAGGAAGCCAAAAACCTGTGGACTACTGCCACATTGTGTAAGGACACCTTTGTTTCAACTAAAAAGACTAGATCAAGCTTTTTTCAGAGATTAGTCTCTTAATCTCTGATTGCTTAGAGGGTTGATTTAACCCTCTAATGTTCCATGTGAGAAAAGAAATCATTTAAAAGGAGGATTGAAAGAACCTCCTGGATGTGCTTGGCCTGCTGGAGAACCAATGTACATCAAATCCTTGCTGCAGAGAGGCATCTTCCCTGCCTTCTCCTCCAAAATACTGAAAGATCTCCTGTTATTATGCACTCTGGTGTGATTATCAGAGGTGTCAGAATCACTTAATGAGGATTGAACCAGGCTGGGGTATGCTGCATACTTGATGTTTTTGCCATGATATGTTCTTTGTTTCTTGTACTTGGGGGGGAACGTGATAAGGCAGGACCTGCTGATTGGTTGGTTCGGTTGAAGAGGGAGTGGACTGGTATTAGAGAAATTGAATTTCTTGATGTAAAGTGGAGAGTGGATAGGTGTATGTGATTTTGTGGGAGAGGTGTTATGGTCAATGAGAGGAGATGATGGGAAGGTTTAGGAGTGGAGGAGGATGGGGAGGTGGCTTGTGAATTTTCCTCAGGATCCAAACTGTATAATGGGGAGAAGTGGTTAGTGGTGATTGCAGCAGGTATTGATTTTGGAGTGGAAGCATGTGGGACATTCTTCTTCTTCCTTACTGTGATCCATTCATTGGTTGGAGGGTTGATAAGGTCTGTTGCAAGGCTATTATGCTTCTGAGGGGTGTTAATACCTCTGCTCTTGTGTGGTAGGTTGATGAAGCTAGGGGGCAGCTTGCTTTAGTGTGGTTTAAGTGGTTGCATTTGGTGCAGAACTTAGGGAGCCACTGGTATTCCACCTGATTTGCTCAAAGCTATTATCTTCCATTCTCAGTTGAATTTCATGTTGAAGGGGTTTAGTCAGGTCAGGTTAACACATATTCTTGCAAACCTAAGCTTAGTCACATTTTCTGTAGCTTGGTCAGCATATAGTGGTTCACCCACAGAGCTTACTATATGGCTTAATCCTTTGGCTGTCCAATAGTTCATTGGAATGTTGTGAAATTTAATCTAAGTAGGGATGCAAGTAGGGTGTGTGGCCTGTGAGGTTGAGTAATGGTTCTATTTCATAAGGGAGAATGGGTGACCTGCTATTGACTAAGGGCCTAAAGAGAGAACCTTTTCAGCCTCAGCAATGGAGCTGAATCTAAAGAGGAAACAATTATTCTCTCCAAGAATGGTATTTGTGAGCCCCATTGATCTCCAAAGCTTTGAAGCTGCCTCTTGTATGACTTTGAAAGGGATTCTTTTGTGAATGCAGATACCAACAAAGTGAGATGATGCCCAGAACTGCTTGCCTTCTTCAACAACTTCCATGGGTGGGTCAATGAAGGATGATGAGGTAGGTGGTATGAATTCAAGAATCATTTTACCAATGGGTTGTTTGACTACCTCTGTCTATGGTTTAGTCTGTTGGGTAATGGTAGGATTGTTGTGGAGGGGAGTTGGTTTGACTGTTGTGTTGTCTTGTAACTGTTGCACATGGTCAGAGAGAGGGGGTGGTGGGGCCAATGCAGTCTGAGGTGAGTTTGGTTGAAAGCATAAAATAGGTAAAACAGGATCATCAGCATTTGTAGAGGTGGGAAAGCATTCCACTGCTATACCAATTTGGGAAGGCTGAGCTGAGGAGGCTACAGTAGCCTGCAGAGATGAATTGACCAGGGGGATGGGTTTTAAAATTGAAGTTGAATTTGAATTTAAAATCAAACCTGCTCCCTCTTTGGGTGGTGGTGGTGGTGGTGGTGGTGGCTGCCCTGAGACTGAGGAGTTAGCTAGTAGCTTGTTTTTCTCCTTGACTTCTGCAAGCTCAGCTCTTAGCTCGGAAATGATCACCTTTAGGTTGTTGTACATCTCCATAGCTCTCCCCAAATTTTCATCTTTCCACTCTAGCTGTTCTTATAACCTGTCAATTTGGTTTGCCGGGGAGGAGTATAACACAGAGTTGAAAATTCTTGGCAAGTTGAAGTTAACAGATGAACTAGTGGGGGGAGAATGGCATGGAGATGAGTTAGGAGCAGATGAATTGCATAAATGAAGTCTTATCGGATTGACTGTTGATAGAGGGAAATGTAAATGAGGCTGTCTTGAGATTGACGATGGGATAGGTGGGTGATAAACTTGTGTATGGAGTGTGGAGGTTGTCGGCTTTTTAAGGATAGTTTTCAGGTTTTTCTGCTTAGGTTGAGTTTTCTGTAGTGAAGGGTGAGACTGACTAGACTGTATTGAGTGGGTTTTATGATGGTGGGAGTGAACTGTATTGAGAGGAATATTGTTTGGGGATGATATAATTAGTGGAGGGATGGTGGAAGTATTATTCTGTGGAAGGAATGGAGGTTTGAGGTGGTTGGATTTGGTCTGCAATGGAGGTTTGGGTTTGTAGAGAGGTTTCTTCATGGGTTTGTGTATTGTGTTTTACAATTTGTGCAAATAAAGACATTACGTCAATTTAGCCATTGAAATGTCTAAAATACCCAAATAACAAAATTTAAAAAATATATAATAATAAAAATCAAAATGTCTTTATTTATATATGACAAAATCAATAAATATATAGAAAGTCGTTGGATTATATATATATATCATGAATTCACACCGTTATCAATATTTTTTTTCTAAAAATCTTTCCTTCTCTCTATATGGTGCCAGTAACAGAGATGCAAAATCTCAAGTTTCTTAACTAAATAAAGTAAAACTAAAAAGAAGCTATATAATTTATTTGCAAATATATGTGTGTGACGCACATTTAATATTTTTAGACTATATATTCTTTTATCAACCGGTAAGAATATCACTTATCTTTTACTAAAATTTACCAAGTAAATAACGAAGCAAAAATAGTCAATATAAAGTGAACAACAATATGACAATAATTTGTGGTTCTTTTTTTTAATATTGTAAGTTTTATTATTAATTCTGCACATTTTTAATTATTTTTATTCAATATTAGGTATATTTTGATAATTGCCATAAATAAATGTCACTAATTTAATAAATGAGAAATTACCGTGAATTCGGAGATTCAAAAATTGAATTTGAGAATTGACAAAATTCAATTCGAGAATTCAAGAAAGATTTGGTTTTAGAGGCGTGAAACATGAAAACGATACTTCCTTAGAAAGATTGCGTGACTTAGACTACACCATAATGTTCTTATTATAATTGAATTTAATTAAAGTAAATGGTTATTGCAAGAAGGGTTAAATGCAAAAAACTCCCTTGCTATACAAAAATTGTGCAAAAATACACCCTACTAAAAATTAAATGTATATAAATCCCTATATTATTAACATTTTGAGCAAATTACCCCTAATTATCAATTTTGACCAATTTTTTTAATAAAACCCCATAATGCCCTTATTGATATATGAAAAGAAAAAGAAAAAAACAAAGAAAGAAAACTCTCTTTACCGTCTCTCTCTAAACCGTCTCTAGCTTTCTCTCTCTCTATGTATATTTATATTTTTGGTAAGCCTTTTTCTCTCTCTACAACATAGAAGATCACAGACTTTTCTTAAGTTTTAGCAACATCGAATTAACTTATACCGTAAAATCACTACTTTGGAATATAATTTTTTTAAAAAAATATGTATTCTTGCCGAAAAATCACTACTTTAATAAAAATAAAAATTAAAAAATTTATGTATTTAGGTAATTTTTAAAACAAATTGCTTGAAAAACAATATAAATTTTCATGATTATATATAAATATAAATGAAACTAACACCACAAAATTTTGATTGGTAGAAACACAGAGAGGACGAATAATGAAAGTATTTATTTTGTAGAACTTGAAATATACATATTATTGATATTCTTTGAAGATGAGTATTTTTCAAAATGTCCTGAATTTATATATAGACTTTTACAATAAAATAAATGTTGTGTTGATTTTTACATCATCTCAATTTGCTTCAGTTTTTGCCTATGACCAAGCTTGTCACTTGGTTGTTCATCTATGTTATTTTAATTAGGCCACCAGACCATTTTGATATTCATAGCAGCATTTACATTCCAAAAACCAAAAAAATTTAAATTACATGAACATGTTATATATATCCCTGCAACAACCCCTACTCCAATATGTTCGCGCCAGTTCCTAGCTTTTTGGTCATGTTTAATTTGAACAATAATTTTTTTTTTTTAGTTAACTCAGGGTGTCCGGGATGGCACGAACTTTTAGGGTCCCTCAACAACCTGACTAATTCCTGAAGATTCGGAAGGACACCTCTCCACCAGGGCGGGGTAAGTCATTGCAGGGATAGCGGAGATTAGCCACAAAGAATACCCAACGGGACTCGAACCCTAGGCCTTGGACTTTCTAAGCTCCAAAGTCCAGCGAGTAAACTATTGAGCCTCATCCGAAGTACATAATTTGAACAACAAATTGTTAAAAAGAAAAATAGATTATTATTTAAGAGTTCTTTAATGTAACCCTTTCTTCGTTTTTTTTTTTGTTTTTTTGGAATAAAGTAATCCTTCCATGTACCAAAATTTAAACAATCTCTCTTTTAAAAAAACTAGAATAAATATATAGATTTCTCAAGTTGTATTTCTTCAAAATTGAACTGGTATGTATTATAATTTTTGTATTTTAAATATTACCAATATTATGCATCACCTAATTATATAGTAGAAGAAATAAGATTATTTAGAGCTCAAACACATTTTCTCATGCTTACAAAATATATAATGACCATTAGCATATTGACAAATACTAATAACATTATACACACACACACACATATAATAGTATATAAGTGTACAAACATTCTAAAAAGTGCTCCGACTCGAATTAAATTTTAAATTTTACGCTTTCCTACGTGGTGTGACTCGAGGTGTAACCTACTTCTAAGCAACAATTAGTTATTTTGCGGTCCCTATCATTTTCCAAGAAACAATTAGTGGGATTTAGACAATTAGACCTCAAGGAAGGTAGAGAATTTAATTTCTGGTATAAATGTTGGTCCACTTTATATGATATTGTTGGTTCCATTAAAACACACACACTAAACACAGAACACACATTAGCTTGTTTGTGGTACCTTATGTAATATGAGTCAAGCCCAATCGTCAGCCACCCATTCCACCTACAAGACCCACCTAATTGTAAACTAATTATAAATGGGTAGGTATATTTTGAGCATATGTGTACTTTAAACAATTATAAAAATTTTGAAAAAAAAAAGAAAAAGATAAAAGAAAACAAATTTTTAGAGTGCAAAAACGTTTGTCATGCTAAAATAAAATATTTAAAATTTTAATTATGTTTTACTCAACATAAATATAACTTAAATTTAATCTCATGAAATAGGTAACAACTGAAGTTAAAATGACTATGATTCAACTCGTTTTAGTTCCACCGATCTTTTAATTTTTAAACAACTTATCACTATTCAAATTTTAAAAAATGATCTTAGGACCATAAAAATTCTAACCTAAATGGCATAGGTTCTGGTTAGTGTTCAAGTTTTGGTGAGGACAAAAATATATATTGAGAGAGTACTTTTGCAGAAAAAAAAAAAAGAAAAAAAAATCCAGCAAACTATCCTTTAAAATTAGAAACTTATATACACGTTTGCCACAAAAGAAAGAGAAATTATTTAATGACAAACAACTACTGCTCTCTAATATATAATACACACTTATAAAGAAAGAGAATACACTACACTACTGACTACAGTAGTTAGCATATGGAGACAGAGAGCATGGAAGGAGGACAGATAACAAGCTCTCTGATTGTTGAAGAAAAGGCATATGACAGCGGCGGCGACGACGGTGGTGTCGACACAGCGACTGATTCCTCGCCCATCACGGCTGCTCTGGTCTTCAGCATCCTCACTGCGTCCTGCGCTACCTTGGGCTATGATGTGCTGTAAGCACTATATATATATATATATATATATATATATACTGTTTGAATATACTTAAAACTCCATATATACAATGAGGTTCCTCCGCACGATCGATATGATCGTGTCACATTAGTTGTAACAATGAGGTTCCTCCGCACGCGTAAAAAAAACAAGTATTGTTCTAATATTTGGTATGAAACTGTTAGTAATTTTCACTTGGTTTTATTTCAATGAATTCAAAACAAATATGACAAATATTTCTCACACCTTAGGGATGTAATTTCAAATATAATTTAATGGACTTAAAGTATTGGATAATTTTATAACATATAATTTGGAATTTATAGTGAGCAACATACAATCTATATAATTAGTATCATATGATTAATAGCATGTTTTAATGGAGTTTACATCTGACTAATTGGTGATTTATGATGACTTTGTAGTGTGGATATTCTTCTCCTGCTGAGTTGGGTATCATGACAGACCTGGGCCTCTCTATTCAACAAGTGAGTGGTAATTTATGGATTCTTTTTTAAATATGCCCTCCTTCATTCAGTTTTTTTATATATAATGTTTTATTTTCATATAATAAAAAATAGAATTTAAGTTGATTGAAATAAAAACAAAATTGGAGAGTTGGGACTAACAATAAATTAAACAATTAATTTATGTATTTTTTAGAAGATAACTTTTTTAATTTCTCAACAAGACTGAGATCGAAGAGGCGAAAACATTGCAACCATATCCCTCGAATGGATACAAAATTTGCCATAACTTCTCTTTATGTGAATGGTAGTATTGAGATACAAATGGCATTATCTGGTGGCTTAATTGATAGAGCGTCAGTGTAATCCCCTCTCTTCTAATTTAAAAAATAATAATAATAATAATAAGAAGATGTTGTACCGTTGTTGTGTTGGGGTGGCCTGTTGAGGAGCCCTAGCTTAGCCCGACTAGAGCAACTCACGGGGAGAGAGACTTGGCCGTAATGCCAAACACTAAACTGAATGTCAATGAGGGATCATGTTGTCATGACTTCTTGAATGCTTAAATAACATGACATATCATATGGTTTAAAAAATAACACTATCCTCTCTTGACTTTGATAAGAAGGTGTTAAATGACAATTACACCTTTTATACTTTAATTATTATTTACCAATATAACATGTGGACAAAAATGCCTTTCAAACTTTTTAAGGTCAAAATTGGGTTTTAAATACATATATATATATATATATATATATATATATTTAAGCAATTATTAAAATCACACCCTACTTCTATTGAAGTTCGAACCTTCAATCTCTTCTTCAAGAAAGAAAGGATGATACCATTGGATCACTTGATCTTTTGATAAAATATATATTTAAATGCTTTGCTTTAGAATTGAACCTTGGACCTCTTGTAAAATAGTCAAAGATTCCACAATCTCCACAATCTCAGCTAACTTGCTCTTTATTTTAAGCCAAGTTAACTCCTTATTTTAAACAAATTTCAAGTATGACATTGGCCGACATTTTTGACAAGAGAAGTTGTCCTTCTCATTTTCACTATGCTATTATTTATAACATTAATTTGTATGTTTTTATATTGTGATTCTTACTAAAAAGTGAAAAATTTAAAAAATCACTTTGGTGGTATTAATTCGCGACATATCAATTTTGAAACATGAAGTCCACTATAAATTTCACTGCGTTTTGATTTTGCCATAAAAAAAAAAATAAATAAAACCTTGTTAGAAAAAACTAAAAAAAAATGGAAAAATAAGATTAAAAATCTGAAATGAAACAAATAATAATAATAAAACGAATCATTTCTCTTGGCAAAGCCACAGCATGGTTCTTGCAAATTGCACACAATTATCACAATTCACCACAATACCGATACACAAATCAACCCATATTCACACCTCCAATATAAAAAATTACAACAGATTTCAAAATATTCACACAAAAAACGACACATATTCATATAATTACAAGAATATGTGTATATAGACAGAAATATACATAGATGGACCCAACGCCAGAGAGCGACGCCGTTCCATTTTTTCATTTAATGATCGAGGTGCGGTGGCGGTAGATCTATCGCCGGTGGGCATCTCCGCGACGTCGGTGTCCATTGATGGCACCTAAAAGGAGTTAATGTTAGATTCTCTCTTTAATCTTTATGGGTTTTGTATCTCTGTTCGGAGAGAGGGAGGGGATACAGCGCGGAGGAGAGAGAAATGGTAGCGGTGATCGCCACCACCGGTAACCCTAACCACCATTCTCTTTCTTTTCACCCAAATTTTTGTGTCAATAAAATTGTAGAAAAAAAAAAAACGATAATGCAATGTTAAAAATGAGGTTAGAGTTAACTAGGGGGAAAAAAAATTGAGGTTAGTGTTGGGAAGAACAATAATACATTGAATTCTCAAAATAAATAATTTTAGACCATGCCAATTTTAAAGGGTTGGTATCAGAAATTGGGGTTGTGCTATTCTCAAATGGGTATAAAAAGGGTAGTTTTGTATTAAATGTTTTCCGTCTGTCACCTGCACTTCATTGTCTTTGTTTTAACACTAATTTGAATGTTGTAGTTGAGAGGTGTTAGTGCAGTTTTACCATTTTCTAAGATTCGAACGTGTCTCCATCTTTTTCAACTCAATTTTTCTAATTACCATACAATGACCCTCCTAGAATATTTATTTATCCACATGTACATGTATGCCTATAAATGCCCCTAAATACATTATATAGGGAAGTGTGTTGGATATTAAAAAAGAAACAAGAACAAAGCATTCCCTTAACTGGGATGAGGATGTTAAGATGGATAATATAAGTCACTACGAAACATAGATTAAATAAATCTAGCTAGGTGGTATGGCCGCATAGAATTTAGACCCGTTGATGCTCTCGTAAGAAAGGGAAGACTAGTTTGAATAGAAGGTAAGGGACAGTGAGGCTGGCCAAAACTGAAGTAATTTTTGGCGTATAGAAGAACAGAATGGGAAAAAGAGATTTGATGTAACAGGCCACATTTTTTTTTTTCCTAAATGAACAGGCCACATTCATTTGGAAAAAAAAAAAGGCAAGATTAATGGTAATATACAAAGAAATAATGAAAAATATGTCCTATTTGAGTCCTACACTACCATATCACTTCAGTTATTTTACATGGCCTGATTGCTTTTGAAGTCATTCACTGAAACAATGAAGTCATTAAAAAGGAGTGACTTATTTCTAGTCAGTTCGAGTCATCTGTTTCTCTATTTGATTTGCTGCTCGTTTTCCATCTTATACAGTATTCAGTTTTCGGTTCAATAATGACAATTGGAACAATGTTAGGTGCAATAGTAAGTGGTAAAGCAGCTGATCTTATTGGCCGGAGAGGTGTAAGTTCTTTTCTTCTTTACTTGCTCTTTTGATGTCTCAAACCAAATGTCAATTTTTTATTTTTATTTTTTATTATTAATTCCAAACATTATATACAACTCTTTAACCATTCTGATTTTTGCTTGCTTTTGGGATGCAGGCGATGTGGTTATTGGAAACATTTTTTATCATGGGGTGGCTTGCAATAATCTTTGCTAAGGTTTCTTGGTAGTTTCCTTTATTTCATTGACTACAATCATGAAGAGGGTGCTCTCAGCATGAGCTTGCGTTTGCAGTTGTTAGATGAGGGCACATTCAATGAGAGCACCCTTATTATCATGGCTTTATTTTATTTTTTAATTATATTTGGTCGACTATGTATGATTTAGGCTTCAAATTCTAATATCATCTCACACGTCTTACAAATAAAGGGCAACATTTTTGTTACCTTGGATGCAATTTTCAAGAAAATTCACTTATCCAAGAAACTTAAGAACAGAATGACTTCTAATCCAACTCTTTTTGTACACAATTTTCATTTTGTCAAACTTTTACACGCCTATGCATACCTAGATCTTTGACTATGACAAAGGAACTAGAGAATGAGGGATCATGCTTTGGAAGTAATTCTAATATAAGGTTGCTCAGAAAACATATTAAAATGTGTGTATTTCAAGTGCTTCTAATACAGAAAAAGTGTCATTAACAGTGTGGTCCCCCGTTAATTGATGATCTTGAAAAGGTTAATTAGATATTGACTTAACTTTTGACATTATTTGCACAAATTGCTTGGAGCATGTGGGATGGGAGGACTGCATGTGCCCGGTGGTGGATTATGGAGTGCTCTAAGAGGCTCGACACCACCATTAAAATAGCATTTGAATCTGTTTCTTTGCGCTTGACAACATGAGTTAATCAGCTTACCAAGTAATGACCTGAGGAAAAAAAAAAAAAAAGGGAAAAGAAAAGTAAGAAATAAATTGAAGAATGAAAGATACAATCTAAATCAAGTTTATGAAATCCTCTCTCCTTTTCGCTTTTATTTCTCATTTGGGGCATGATTAATATTTCAATTTTTTGTGCTTGTTGGAAGGGTGCTTGGTGGCTCGACTTTGGAAGACTACCATTGGGATTCGGAATTGGTATTCATGGTTATGTGGTAATGCAACAAGTTAGCTTTTCATGTCACACACACAGACACATATGATTTCTCTTTATCATGTGTACTGATATGTACATTGCCATTGCCTGATAGGTACCTGTATATATAGCAGAAATCACTCCCCATAATATTCGAGGGGGATGTTCAGCAGCTAGTCTGGTAAATATAAACTAGTATATATAATTTCAGATTACAATCAACTCTTTGTTCATGAGCATATGTGTTGGCAATTTTACAGTTGATGGTAAGCGTTGGTGTGTCACTAATGTTTGTAATTGGCAATGTTGTTACTTGGCGCACCTTGGCTGTAATTGGTATATAACTTGCTTCAATATTTTACTATTTTATGAGTATGATGGCATTTTTCTTGTAAGAGCGAGTCTACTATGAGGATGCGTACTTTGAGCTCTCTCCTTCACAGTAGCTTTCTCGTAAATGACTTGCAATGGTTGCAATTTCAGGAACCATACCATGTTTGGTACAAGTTGTTGGCTTATTCTTCATAGCAGAATCACCGAGATATTTGGTAACTTTGATTTCAAAATTTTATTGGCAGTTGTTATATTGTGAAGTATCCAATTTAATGAAGCAAGGAGGTCTGTTGATGTGCTCAAAAGCAGTGCCCCTTCACGGATTATTCCAAAAAAAAAAAATTTGGATTATCAGATTTTTTCTTAAACTTGTTTTCCTTGGGCCTGTTAAATTGGAAGAGGTGATTGGTTCAGTTCAAATTTATCATCAATGGTTTAAAATAAGATAGTTCTTCGCCTTTTCTTGCATAATGGTAAACCAAAATATGTTAAACTAATGCCAGAAACTTTGACAAAGCATCTCTTAGAATATACAATTGATGAGTGCAACCGTGTGCAGGCGAAGATTGGTAAAGAAAGAGAGTTAGAAGCAACCCTACTACGTCTGAGGGGAAAATCTGCTGATATTTCTAAAGAAGTGGCCGAGATCAGAGTAATAATGTAGCTTCATATTCTGATTAGAAAATCACCATCTAGAATGAAATAAAAATATATTTTTTATGTGTGTTTTTAATTTGCTTTAGCATGAGTCAACAAGAAATAATATAACGTTTTACAGGATCTCACTGAAATGCTTCAACGGCTTTCAGAGTCCAAATTTCTAGACTTGTTTGAGCGGAAATATGCTCATTCACTCATTGTAAGCTAGGCCTTAATTTATCCTAGTTGTGACGTGTTAAATTTTCAAGACATGCTCAATGTATCTTTATTGCATTAGGTTGGAGTTGGGATAATGCTACTGGTACAATTTGGAGGGAGCAGCGCGATTTCATATTATGCAAGTTCAATTTTTGAATCCGCTGGTAATGGAACGACTTCAATTATGATTATTTGAGCAATTAACTGAGGAAAACTTGTTTTGAGGAATGAATATTTATCTACATGATCTATATGTTATGGCAGGTTGCTCTGTTGGTGTTGGGACTACGGCAATGGCCATTATTCAGGTTCTTGACTGTTAGAAATGTAATTTTTAATATGGGATTTTGCTTGATGCAATTTCTAGATGATTTGAACATTCTTTTGCAGATTCCATTTTCCATTTTGTGTGTATTCTTAATGGATAAATTTGGAAGACGACCACTCTTGATGGTTAGAATGTGAAAGTCTTCTTGTTTGTGTTTTTACTACAAGTCCTTGATGTTTATGTTGTTGGTGGATGGACTATTTATTAGAATACTCTTTGCAGGTTGGTGCAGCTGGAACATGCTTGGGGTGTTTTCTTACAGGATTGGCATTCCTCTTGAAGGTTTCTAAATAATAAAAATTTAAAAATAAAATCCAATTAATATCAATCTCCTAACTTCATTCTCAAATTGGAAAATAATCATCTCTTAAAACATTGCTCCACTATGAGCAGGATTTTCATCAACAGACGGAACTCACTTCCATTTTTGGGCTTGCTGGCATCCTGGTACGTGTGACTCACTGTCTACGCGCTATATGTTTGAACTTGAAAAATAAAATAAATCTCTAAGTGAAAACATTTAGCTTAGTTTTGGGTTAATTAATTCTTCCTCGATCCCCATATGAGGAGCCTCTCTTGTATGTTTTTTTCCTTCAAACAATACCCTTCTTTTAATGTGTGTGTGTGTGTGTATATGTAAGTAAAACCAGTTAGCAAAGTCTTTTTTGTTTTTTTCCTTCCATCCTCCTTAATTTTTTCCATATACATGCAAATTAAAGGAGGGAGAGCCACGGAATTGCTTGTAAGGATGCCCTTCAAATCCTCTTAACGGTTGATTTCTAGCCTTTATTACAAAGGGTTAGGGGCTTGAGATATTTGTAATCTCAATTTCTTCTTCACCGTGGACATTGGTTATAAACCAAACCACGTAAATCTTTGTGTTTGTGTTGTGCTTTGACGCAGCATCTGTTGTAACACTAACTTCCCTTTTCTCACAATTTTTCGTCATTCATGCTAAACAAGCATTAATTTGAATGACCAAGCTTGTCATTTATATATACTTGGTGTTTTAATTACTGTATATGAGCCAAATTTGACACATTCTTGGAATCATTTCTGCAACCAGGTATATATTGTATTTTTTTCATTGTGCTTGGGTGGTACACCATGGGTTATCGTGGCAGAGGTAGGTTTCATTTTTCTTGGCCTGAACTTTATTCTGTTTTATGAACATTCCAGCCAGAGACCGTAGAGCTATAAAATTAATAGCTTAGACTGAAATTTGTGTTTAATCTTATAATTTCAGATTTTTCCAATAAACATAAAAGGTGCAGCCGGAAGTCTTGTGAATTTGTCCTACGGCTTCAGTTCTTGGATTGTTTCCTATGCTTTTAATTTCTTATTTGAATGGAGCTCAGCAGGTCCTCTCTCTCTATATGTGTGTGTGTGTGTGTTTTTCGGTAATTATATATATGGATGTACATATGCTTTTGAGTACGTGGTGTTTTCAAATTATAATGTCTAGCTGAGAGAGTTGCATGCATTGGATAAGGTCAAAACTTTGATCTTATTCAATGCATTCTCGACTAAACTCTTCGGTTAGATTATTAAATCCGAATAATATTGTTCCCTTCTCATTTAATTACAATTATTTCAGGAGTATTCTTCACATTTGCAAGCATTTGCTTTATAACAATAATATTTGTTGCAAAGCTGCTCCCAGAGACAAAGGGACGAACGCTAGAAGAAATTCAAGCATCCATGATCCATCTCCACCAATCAGATACAGTACTTAGATAGTTAAATAACTGTCATAATAATAAAAACACTGTTTATTGGACATTTGTGTGATCATCTCTCTTTGTTATAAGAGATTTAATTTTTTATTTGGAGAATGGAGAACATATGGTTTGATAATTTTTTTATGTATTTTTTTATATTTTGTGATTTAGATATGAAGTGTAATTGTGAGCATTCAAAAATTTCCAGTAAAGGTCTCTTTCCATGGATTATTTTCCGCTTTTTTATTTTTTATTTTTTTATGCCAGGTAAAAAGAAAAAAAATGTTACACTTCTCATCCATCATACAATTGGTACCCTTAAAATCTAAAAAAAAAAAAATAGAAAAATTTAGTGTACGAGGCTTTTGTTATTGAGATGTTTGGAGAGGATTAGAAGTACACAATCTTCTCTCTGCATAGAGAGATACTTTTTCTTATTTTGAAAAAACTTTTTTTTATTTTGAAACCATGAAAAACTTTACCATTACTTTAGAACTCGCCCTCGTTGCTATAGTGTAATCTAAGTATGAGAAAAATAAAAATAAAAATAAAAATTTAAAATTTAAAATTAAACTAACAAAATTAAATCCGTGATATTATTTCAAAACCGTTACTTTTCAGTTGTACTTAGTTGAAGTGAGTAGGTACTAGCTAGGATTGTCATCTTCCCAAAACAGAAAACGAAAAATCTCATCAATTGCACATATATCAACATCAAACCAATAAATTGCCAACTATATTATTTAATAGACATGTACTATCACGTATCAATATCTAGTGAGTGGTGATTAACTTGATTGCATCCCCCAAAAAAAAATAAATATATATATATATAGTGAAAAATAAATACTTGATTGGGCACAAACTTTAGTGTTAGTGCTACATCAATATTACTTTGGACAATGGGTTTGATTTTATATGATGTGTACATAAAATTATTGTTTTTTACCAATTTTTCTAATTTGATTTGATTTGGCATTGAGTGGTGGTTGTTTGGAATTGAAAATTTCGGTATATGTTTGCAGAAATCTTCATCCTTATTATTGATTATCGACTGTGTAAAGGAAAATGAGAGCACCCAACAAATCACTCTTGACTTTTTATTTTTATTTTTATTGTTATTGTTTTCATTTTAGAGATCATATCAATTTTCTTAATTTAATTCACTCTTCGTTCAACTTCCACAATATGATACTTTCTCTGTCTCAAAAAGAATACCCTATTTAAAAAATCGTGACTCACATTTTCTCAAACAGAATATTCATTTTGGAATAGAGATAATATAACATTATTTATTTTGAAATTGAGAACTCACGATTTTATTTTTCATTTTAAACTTTTTCAAATGACGTGGGATTATGCAATTAGTTACTTACCTAGTGTGGTAGCGGCTCAGTGTCCTGCACGTGACCATATAGGTCGCCATGAAATTACTGAGGATGAACAGAAGCTACTGTTAATTTTAGGGCACCTTTCAAAACTCCTGATTCAAATGAATTTACCTGTCCATTTTACCGAGATAACTTGGAAATTGTCAAAATGATTTATTTTTATTATTTTGAATTATGAGTGTCACAAGTAGGGGTGCAACTTGGGCGGGCTAGCCCAACCCAACCCGAGTCTAGCCCATAAATTTTAAAATCTGGACATATAAATTTATAATTCGGGTTTAAGTCGGGTTGAGTTTTTTCAAACCCCAACCTTATTCGGTTTGGGCTGGGTTCAACCCGAACCCAACTCGAGAACCCAAATTAAACATTCCATAACAAAAAAAAAACTTAAAAAAAATCCACGATCTCTCTCCTATCCTTCGCTAACTCTCTCTCTCATCATCCACTCTCTGCTTTCTGTTTCTCTCTCTGCGGCCATCCATGGGCGAAGCTTGAGAGTTGAGAGGAGGGCTTAAGTTTTTTTTTTTTTTTTTTCTCCTTTCTTTCTTTCTCTCTCTTCTTTTTCTTTCTCTTTCTCTCTCTCTCTGCCGCCGTCCATGGGCGAAGCTTGAGAGTTGAGAGACAGCGGCTGAAGCTTGCGAACGGCGAACCCGAACTGGAACAGCGGGCGATGGAAACTGAAATATATGGGTTTTGATTTTTTGAACAATCTGAAATGATATGCCGATTTGGGTTTTGATATAGGTAATAGGTTTTGAACTTTTGATTATTGCAACAGATAGATAAACTGAAATATATAGGTTTTGAAATTCTGATTCTTGTAGATTTAGTACTTTGCAGTTGCAGAGAGAAAGAGAGAGAGAGAGAGAGAGAAGGCAAGTTCAGATCTGAGAACCAGAAGAGAGATGGAGGCGGCGATTGGTGAGGCTGAAACGATTTGCCATAAATATATATATATATATATATATATATATATATATCTAATAATAATAATAATAATAATAATAATATAATAAAAATATATAATATACATATACATATAATATATAATACATATAAATTTTCCAAAAAAAAAATTTTTTTTTTAAAAACTCAACCCGTCAATTCGACTCAATTCGTCCGAAAATATTCAATTCGAGTTATGATCCCAACCCAACCTAATTCAAATTGAGATTAGATTGAACCTGATATGGGTTGGGCCAACCCAACTTACAACCCCAGTCACAAGACTAATGATCAATGCCAAACCACATGTATGTGGTGGGACCCAGAGAGTCGACCCCACCACAAGCATCAATGCCTTTATCATTATTCCCAGGGAATGCACACACATTATTCGTTGAAGGTGATTGATTACCAACATGTTGGACCATCTAATGAATCGACCGCTTAAATGCTTTAATAATTCCAATGAATCGATGCCCTGACCCACTAAGCATAAATTTTTTCCATAATTGTTCTTATCAACTTAATTATGTGTTTAATGATAAATTATAAGTGTTTTAAAAGATGTGATATCATTATCGATCACAAAATTAAAATAAAAAAAATTTCGTTAAGTGAAAAAATGAAACAAGGTTCAGTTAGATAGTCATGTTGATCATTGAAGCATTTACGCAATCATGATCCAAGTCCATGTAACTAAACCTTGCGTGACTTTAGAAGCAATGCTTCAATAATTGCAATGAATTGATGGTGTTATCACACTTATAGAAGGTAATTATCTCGTGAGCACTTGTGAGCCAAAAAAATTCATTTATACCATATATAGTAACTCCTGATATAAAAAAAATAATAATTACCAAAAAAATATAGCAATTATATGTAACCTTTTTTTAGACACTAATTATTAGAGTAAAAATAATAATAAAAAAATAAAAATATCATATAAATAGATATAATAGGTCGGGTGCCCGACTAAAAAACTTAAACTATTAGATAAGACTAATACACAACACAACACATATATACACATTTCACCACCAAAATTGTGACTAATACACAACACAACACATATATACACATTACACATTTCACCACCAAAATTGTGACTAATACACAACACAACACATATATACACATTTCACCACCAAAATTTACAATGCCTTCGTTACTATTAGATCATCCTGTCTATCCGAGTGGCACACCCAGACTCCTTCGGATCGGACACTTAGCGTGACATGGATTACTGAGTGTTTCATGATCTGACTCATAAGTTTAAAAACTAACGCTCAATTCATATATACTCATTTTACATTCTATACGAATTCGATGTGGGACAAAACTCCGTTTATAACAATGACAAGCCTACACATTTATGCATTACTGAGTGAATGATTGACGCTTCTATTGGACTGACATAGACATACCAATTTTGCCAGTGTCATGTTTGGTGTAATTTGCCAGTTGATCAAAAGCTTGGAAAAAGAAGAAAAAACAGTTTGCACCGAAATATGCGAGGTGCATGTCATCACTTTTTTAGTGCTACAAAAAACCTGAAAGAGCCCCACTTCTAAGTGAGACACGCATCTTTAGTCCATTTTCGTCAAATTTGTATTTTGCTAGTATGATTTAGATGTGTAAATAAATAACAATAAGATTCAAACGAGTGAAATTACTCATTTCACATTATTATTATAGTAATGAAAGTTTCTATTAATAATAATAAACTTACACTCACTTGCTGGAAAATGCTCACTAAATAGAATTTTGATAGATTGATGCATTACCAATTTTACTGCAATGCCTTTTTTAGAACATCTGCCACTGTCAATGTTTAGTGTAATTTGCTCGTTGAAGATGAAAAATTATTAAATTGTAGTTTATTTATTATAATATATTAATATATGTGAAACGCAATTAAGAGTAAATAAGGCACACTCTTAATTAGGCTAATGCAGGGTGCACCGGATATCTATTTCATGTGAGAGATATCTATCATATTATGACGCGTGTCATGGCCGGTAGTGACACAAAACTAAATTGGCAAGCAACAAAAGGTGATGCAGAGACGCAATTGAAATCACCGTGAGTATTTTGGACGGCCATATGGCTACTGACGTGAGGACAAAACAATTTTGTTTTATCTTTTTTTTGGCAGTACTTCGACCTTGTCGTTTTATCCCTGTAATAAGAACAATTATGTTACTAGATACCCCAATTAAAAATAACTAAATAAATAAATAATAAAAAAATTGGGATAAACTCTTATATATTATTCAAATAATAAAGATCTCTTCTATAATTTTAAATATAATATTGACCCCCCATATCAGAATTAATTTTAATTCAAATGTCTTAAATGGTTAAGGACAAAATAATTTTTTCAAGTTTTCTAAAGACATTTTTGGATTTTAAGCAAATTTTGAGCAGGACGTCCATAAATAAAAATGTCAAATTTTAGAATGAAGAGACCATTATTATTCAAACCTTAATCAGGGGAGAGCTGAGTGTTATATTTGAAATTAGAGGAAATATCATTTATTTATGCAACCTAAAGGGAAGATAAATGTAATTAACTTTTTTATTTTTATTTTTTTAAAGTTCACAAGTTTCACTCATTACCGCTTTTGCCCCATATAATAAGTGCACTTTACACGAAAATTATATTGTTGTAACATATAATTGATGAAGTAATAAAGCAATACATTAATTAAATTCATAAACAAGTATAATCAAAATCAGATACAGTGCATGATTATATTATATTGCAAATATATGATTATGATCATATAACTTTTAATTTAAATTGCTAAAACAAAATTAAGCAAATAAACCATCCATTAACAGTATGCAAATTTACTTAAAATGTCATATTGTTTAATTTCATAGCA